TCCTGCCAGTCCTCCGCAACCACAAATCGATTTTTTGTCTTTATGGGTTTGCTTATTTGGCCAATTCACACAAATGGACTCATATATAAGTGGTATTTTGCATCTACCATTTAGTATATTTTTAAGATTCATTTGTGTTATAGTGTATGTCAGTATTTGATTCGTTTTAGGGTGGAAAACTACTTTCATTTAATCCAGTTAAGGTTAATGGGCATTTAGGTTGTTTCTGTTTTTTGCTGTTACGAATATATTTCTATGAACATTTGTGTACAAGTTTTTCAATTCTCTTGAGCATTTACTTAGGTGTAGAATTGCTGGACCATGTAGTAATTTTATGATTATTTTGAAGAGCCACCAAACCATGGTGGTTTCACCATTTTACTTTTCCATCGTCAGTGTGTAAGGATTCCAATATCTCCATCTATTTTTCAATGCTTGTTATTTTCTCTCTTTTAGACTCTAGTCTCCCTTGTGAGTAATTCATTTATCTTCTGTTTTGTTTATTTTTGTGGCACTGAGGATTGACTGCCTGGTGTTGGGTATGCTAGGCCAAGTGCTCTACTACTGAGCTACATCCTCACTCCCTACCAAGGCAAATCAAAGGGGAAGAATCTCAAGCCGACAAATGTGCTGAATAATAGTTATTGACACACATAAGGGTGACTATGGATTCCTACTTCATCCTATATTCAAAAATTAACTCAAGATGGCTCAAAGACCAAAATGCAAGTATTAATATAAAATTCTTAGAAGAATAGGTATAAATCTTTGTGGCCTCAGATGAAGCAGTAATTTCTCAGATTTGATCACTTAATCAACCAAAAGAAAAATGATAAGTGAACTGGGCTTAAAATCAAAAACTTTTGTGCTTTAAAAGACCCTAGCAAGAAAGTGCAAAGGCAGCCAACAGAGTGAGAAAAAATGTTTGCAAACTGTATACGAAAGACCCCAAACTAGCTGGGTAAAGTGGTATATAACCTGAGCACTGAAGAGACTGAGGCAAGAAAATCACTGCAAATTCAAGTTTGAGGTCAGCCTACACAGTGAGATCTTGTCTCAAAAAAAAAAAAAAAAAAAAAAAAAGAAAAAGAAAATAAAAACTCCTCAAACTCAATAAGAAAAAGACTAATGCAATTTTGTAAATAAACTAAAGATTTAATAGACATCATTACAAAGAACATTTAGGAGTGGCCAACAAGTACATTAAAAGGTGCTTAACATTGTTAATCACTCGCAAGATGCAAATCAAAACCACACTACGATACCACATTACACCCACAAGGGAGACTAGAGTCTAAAAGAGAGAAAATAACTAGCTTGTAGATCAGTCTGCATGGTTAGGACATGACTTCTGTGGCCAGAACTCTAGGGCAAATCTCAGCCCTGCTGTTACTATTTGGATAGGTTATTAATCTTTCTGTGCCTCAGTTTCTTCATCTCTAAATTAGGGATAATAACAGTTAACATCATGTAGGTGAGATTTGTCTTATAAGGCCGACACATCGTAAGCACTGTGTCAATACCAGTTATTTTTACTTTAAATGAGACTTCATGTCTAAAAAAGACTCTAACACTCGTATTTTCAAACAGAGCATTTATATTAGCACCATAAATGGAAAACACTGTCCCTTGCTTGCAAGAATAGGAATTTATAAAATAAACTTAATGGGAGCAAAACAATGCTGTTAAGTGCTAGTTTAGGTATTGTCAGGAGGCTGATAGACTAGGCTGTCTTACCGACTGTGTCTAAGCCCGGCAAGAGCCATACTGGGGCCTCTCTCCTGTACTAGCACAGGGGCTAACAGAAAATGGAAAGTGAGGAACTGAACCGTGTTTAAAGGCTCTGCCCATACCCTGCTCCCCCTGCCATGTGTTGTTTGGGAACCTCACAGTACATTAGAGCTTTTCAACGACCAAAGACTTGGGAATCCTTTAAAAGGTTCGTTGTTTGTACTAGTACCAAGGATTTTCTAACTTTTTTATTTCATAAGCTATGACTGAGAGAGAGAGGGAGAGAGAGAGAGAGAGAGAGAGAGAGAGAGAGAGAGAGAGAGACAGAGAGTGTTGGGGTATGTGTGCAGGGAGGTGTTGTTCTCAGAAATCTCCTTTTCTTTCTGGTTGAAACTTGGTTCAGAAAGGCAGACCCTAGCCAGGCATGGGCACACCATGTAATCTCAACACTCAGGAAGGCTGAGGCAGGACATCCCAAGTTGAAACCCAGCCTGGGCAATTCAGCGATGTAGGAAGATTCTGTTTCAAAATAAAAAATAAATAAATAAAAACGACTGAGGATGTAACTCTGCAAAAGTCCTGAGCTCAATCCCCAGTACTGAAAAAAAAAAAAAAGAAAAAGAAAAAGAAAGAAAGAAAGATAGAAAGAAAGGGAGACATTTTATCCAGGCCTCCCATTTCCAAGGGCAGACCCTATGTGTCTCCTCCAGCCCCAGGATGGGACCCACAGACTTGAGGCTCTTGTTACAGGCATCTGCAGCTAGGAGAGGCGTGGCCGCCCCGGCGACCTCGCTCTGGGGGCGGGGCTGGGGGCGGGGCGGGGGCGGGGCGAGCGCCCTGCACTGAGTCTGGGCTGTCGCGGAGTCGCGGCCCCAGCCGCGCGGAGGATTGCGTCGCTGGCTGCTCGCGGTGAGTTCCCATCCAGGACCCCTGCCTGTGCTTAGCTCTTGGGATGGGTTGGGGAGAAAGAAAGTGAGCGCCAAAAGTCCGGCCCTGGACTCGGATACCTGGCCCCGCCGCTGTCCTGACTGCTGGGCTTGGGGCAGGGTTGCCTCGGTTTCCCGCGGTGTGGACTCGAGGTAGAAGAAAAGGAAACGTCTCGGGGTTGGGGAGCTCTGTGGCCCCGGAGGATGAGGAGGTTTTGGGGGCGGGGCTGGAGTCCGAGCCCCGGAGCCTTGGAGGTCTGAGGAGAGGCTGTGGCCCGGGGGTGGGGTGGCGGTGCCTCTCTTTCCCTGGGACTCGTCTCTCGCTCCACTTGCTACCTTTTGACTCCTAGGGAAGGCTTCTGCTACTCCCTGCCTTGGCGAGGGAGAGCCAGGTTCCAGTCCTGTGCCAGTCCAGACAGGCCCACGACCAGGTCTGCCAGCCCCACATCCTGCAGGCTGTTGGCCTCTTCTTGCTTCTCAAGCTCCTGCAGCAGCCATCTGGTTCTACCTGTTTTCTCACAAACTACTAAGTTCCCCTCACCCCGTGGGGGTGCGGTGCCCTGAAACTGAACGAGGCCCGGAGTCCGGGCCACCAGCTCCCTGTCCTGCCTCAGTTTCCATGTGGGCTGTGCCTGGTGTCCTCCAGGTCCCTTGTTCTGGGAAAGGGGAACGCCAGCCCTGTCACCCCTCCCTGTCCCTTAGTGAGAAAGCCCAGAGTCACAGCCCCACTGCCTCTGTTCTCCTGCCCTGTCCTGCCACCAAAGGTTGCCAGAGCCCAGGGTTTTCTGGTCACCCCAGGCCCCTTGGCCTCTCTGTACTTTGGGGTCTGAAGCTGGAACAGACCCACCCAGCCCCACCCCCAGGTCAGAATCCCTCTGTCGAATAGACCCCTGTGACCAGCAGCTCGCTTCTTAGAAGCTGGCTATTTGTGTCCTGGAGCTCTAGTTTCATTTAGTTTAAGTCTGTACCTTGCGGATTCTGCCCCTCAGGCGGTATCTGCTTCCTGGATCAGTACTGAGTAAATTCACTCATTCATTCATTCATTTGCTTGTGCCACAGGTTTGATAGTATTGGTCTAGGGGAAAAAAGAGAGCATCTGTGATGCAAAAAGCTTGTGCAAAGGCCCTGAGGTAGGAGCATGCCAGGCAGGAGTGGCTCTGGTTTGCTCTAAGAACAAAGAGAGAAGGCCAGTGTGAGAATGTGGAAAAGTAAGAGGAATGAGTACAGAAAAATAAGGAGTCCAGAGATGAAGGTGTACTTTCTAGGGCCTTGAAGGCCATCTAAAGGCTTTGGCTTTCAGGCTGAGTGCTGTGAGAGGGCTCTGTGCAGAGGAGCCGCTGTCTCCGAACCAGAGGCTGGCAGGCTCATTTACTGATGGGAGAGGGTGAGAGGCCAAGGGGGCTATTGCTGTCATCCCAGGAGAGACCATGGGAGACGTCACCATGGCATAGAGAGGTGGAGGAAAAAACTTCAAGGCTTTCACATTTGGGATCCAGTTTTGAAGGGCAGGCTGATAGATTTGGGAGGCAGCAGAGATGAAATCGAGGATGACTCTGAGGTTTTCAGCCTGACCACCTACAAGTTTGGAGCACTGTCACCTGAGGTGATCCTCTTCAGGGAAGAGAGCAGGAGTGTGGCTTTGTGCCTGTCCAGTTTGAGATCCCCCGTAGGCATCCATGTGATGCCGAGGAGACAGCTGGGAAAGCCCATGGAGTTTGGGGCTGGCAATACCATGATGCTCAGGGTAATCAGGACTAGGACCAGGCAAGGGGACAAAAAGAGCCACCCTGAGGTAGGAGGAAGATGAGACTTGTGTCCTGGGTATCCCGGGGAAAATGCGCCCCAGGAGCAGGGGCAGGGAGCTACCAGAACTGATGCCCTTGGCAGAGTGAGTGAGGTGAGGGGTGAAAGCTGGGCCACAGGCGGTCACTGTGACCTTGCTAGGATTGGGAGCTGGAAGGGATCCAGGAGGATGTGGGGATAGTTCAAGCAACAGACATGGGATAAATGGCATCAGAGCTGAGAGGGAGGGGGCCAGAGAGGGCCTCAGTCTGTGCCCCTGTGGGGACATCTCTTAGAGAAGCTCCGATGTGGGAGGGCAGTGGAGTTTGGCTGGGGAGGGAGGGGATGAATTGGGTGCCCCAGGGGAGGCTAAGTCCTTGGTGGGACCCCGGAAGGTTTCCTCCCCCACTTATAGACCTTTCTTCCTTCAGGCTGGAAGCACTGAGCCTAGGCTCTGCTAAACCAGGCTTGGGGGGGGGGGAGCCAGGACATAGCGTGGGCGTGGGGTAAGGGAGGATCCTTATGGGTCACCTGCTGATCCTCTGCTTCAGCAAGAAGCAGAGGACAGTAGTGACGCAGAACTCTAATGATGTAATGTCGGAAGTAGAGAGGAAAAGGCAATGGAGATACATCAATACATTGAGTCTGAAGAGTGGAAGTCTGAGCAGGTGATAATAATGCAAGAGGATTTTAGCAGCGTTTTTATGAAACAATGATAAGTCAGGATTTACCTGTCTGTCTCTCAATTTACACTGAAGCGGAATGAACTTAAGCTAAGGCAGGAGGAACACAATCCTGAGAGCCGGTCTTCCTTTGCGAGGGCAATGGCTGCTTGGAGGCTGAGGCTGGCTCTCGGTCCTTGGGAATTCCTCTTGCTCTGAGGTTTCCAGAAGACTGGTCTGTCCTTCCCTGGGCCCCAGGACCCTGCCATCACTAGTCTGGGTGAGTGTGGCTGGCTGTCCTGTGGGTGGCCCTGGCCATGGTGGCTTGGGGACAGGTCATGTATACCAGTAGCTCATTTTCTGGGTGTGTCTCAGGCCTCTGTGCCTCCACTTTTCAGTGACAGTCATGGTGGGTGAATGACACTTTGAGCCAAAACAGGCAAGACTTTCTGAGTCTGGGACGGCTGCTTGGCCAGCTCTGGCTTCCTGTTGGTCCTTTAGGGATTTCCCTTAAGGGTGGGGTCTGTGGACAGCTCCAGGGCTGCCAGGCTTTTGTGTCCTGTCCAGGCTGTGCTCAAACATGGCCTGGCCATGCTGGTTGCTTAGGGGGCTGGGTGATCTAGGGTCTCCAGGTGGGATGGAAATCACAGGTGTCCTGGCCAGGGGATCCTCAGGTGAGCGAGGCGAGTGCTGTCCTGTGGCAACCCCACTTTCAGCCTCCTCTGATTCCCAGCTGGACCCATGCTCTCCAGGCTAGGGTTGGAGGGAAGGTGCTGTTCTCAGAGGTTGGTGGGTACCAGTTATCTTTCAAGACCTGGGAAGGGCTGTGCTGGGGGTCACACTCCCTTCTTGGGATCCCCCAACCCTCCATAGCTAGTTCCCTGCTTGGAGGTGGTACAAGAAGACCTGCTCGATTGGGGGGAAGTCCTGTAATTCCTGGTTCACAGTGGCCGCTGCAGTAGTAACACCCTCTCTCAGACTGCCAGACACACAGATGCCCTGCTACCTCAGTTTTCCTTGCCAGCCAGCACAAGGCCTCCAGCCTGTATGTTGCAGGGTTCTGCGCTGGAGACCCTCCTGTTGCTCGCCTCAGCTGTCACATGAATACAAGCACAGCCCTTCTCCTCCCCCACTGGATTTTGATTCATGAAAATTCCCACCACTGCTCCGCTCCTCAAGCCCAGTGCTGTGCCAGGCTTCAGGATGCCAGGATGAGAGGATCTGGGCATCCCATGGGCAGTGTGGGGCATGAGACATAAACAGCCAACACGAAAGATGTGAAATCCCCAGGCCAGTTGGTGTTTGTTCACTTGAGTGTCCCAGAATGTCCCTGATTTATAAAAAGAAGCTGGCTTCCTTCTTCTTTTTCCATGCCAGAACCCTTATACTTTCGTTTCTACTGGGCATTGCACCAGCCCTTGTCTGGAGGCCCTGCCACAATGGCGGAACCAAACAAACTGAGAGGTTTTCTCTGCTGTGGAGCTCTCAGCCTCCGGAGGCTGAAGGCTGAGCCCAAGCAGGCCACTGAGGATGGTGGCAGGGCAGGGTGAGTGTATGGTGTGAGTGTGTGTTTGTGGCAGGAAGCAAGGGCCTTAGGGTTTGCCTGTGTATATGTGTGTGTGATGGGGGGCAGTGCATCTCTGAGCTCCATGGCACCATGATTTTGCATTTCACCTAGAAAGGAATTCTTGTGGTAATATTCTGAGCTGCTCATTGGGTAGTGGGGGTCCTGAGGGATGGGCCTTGGCCCCTGTGGGGGACCCAAGCATAAGGCAGGTAAAGGTGCACACCCTGGAGTCAGGCTTGGGTTCATACCCTAGCTCTGCCTTACCTACTGTCCCAAGCTGCATAAATCTCTTGCCTGTGTGTCTCAGTTTTTTCCCCCATAAAATGGGGCTGGTGATATCCTCTACTGCACAGTCCCTGGGTGGGTTAAATGAATTCATAGAGGGAAGCATATTAGGGGGTGCCTGGCACATCATAGGTGTTTAATAAATATGAGCTGTTCATCAGGTTACTGGCCTGAATCCAAGCAGCCTGGAAGAGCCCTTGTACCCTGCCTCAAAGGGAACAAACTTCCTGATCCCTTGGAGGACACTGTGCCTCATGCAAGCTCCAGCCTTTTAAAACTTCTTCAATCAGGATGTGGGAACCTGCATTTTATTTTTGTTTGTTTTGTTTTTGTGTGTGTTTTTTGTGGTACTGGGGATTGGACCCAGAGACTTCGCACTGAGCTGCATTCCCAGCCCTTCTTGTTTTTCGTTTTGAAACAGCTTTTTGCAAGGGATGCTAAGTTGTCCACACTGGGCTTGAGTGTGAGGTCCTCTTCCTTGGACTGCAGACATTACAGACATGTGCCACCACGCCTGGTGAGCCAGTGATCTTGCCTGCTTTGGACTCTCTGGGATTTTAAGTTGGTCTCTTGCCAATGGCCAATTTAAATTTGAACGGGGCTTGTCTCTGCCCCCATCCCCACCCTGCCTGGCTTCTGGACAAGTCCTGCTCTGACCTTGCTCCTTCTCTCCCCAGGTCGTGAAATGAGCTCACAGGAAGCTTTCCAGGCACAGAGGAGCCAGCTGGTGGGGCTGCTTGTGTCAGGGTCCTTGGAGGGCTTTGAAAGCATCCTGGACTGGCTGCTGTCCTGGGAGGTGCTCTCCTGGGAAGAGTATGAGGGCCTCCGCCTCCCGAGCCAGCCTCTCTCCCACGCAGCCAGGCACCTACTGGACATGGTCTGGAACAAGGGCAGCTGGAGCTGTCAGAAGTTCCTCGAGGCTGTCCAGGAGGCCCAGACTGACAGCCAGCCCCCTGAGCTGCATGACAGCTGGGACTCCCACTCATGCCACCCTGTCCAAGATCTTCAGCGTCACCGACCAGCTATCGTCAGGAGACTCTACAGCCATGTGGAGAATGTGCTGGCAGTGGTCAGGGAGCGGGGTTTCATTAGCCAGTATGAATGTGATGAAATCAGGTTGCCCATCTTCACAGCATCACAGAGGGTAAGGCCTCGATCCTGGCTCAGATTTCATAAGAAAAGAGGAGTCACCAAGATTAATGTTTCTTGGGAAGTCAGCTCTATGGTATAACTTGATGTGGGGTGTTCCCCTTGAAAAGTTAGTCAGACAAGTAAAAATTGCTCCTGATCTCTTAACAGTATACCACTTTGATGAGGGGAAGTAGGATTTGGTAGCCAAGGACTTGGGGTCTGGAGCCAGTATATTGCAGGTTTAAGGTCAGCCTTCTAGAAAGAGCCTCTCCATCCTAAATGTCTCATCTTGGTTTCCTCATCTGTAAAAACTGACAGTGGTTATTTGGTACTTGTCCTACAAGGCTTTGAGGAGAACTCAATGAATTAATTAGACCCATGTCTCACACCTGATGCCACCATTGGCAGGGGCCGAGGGTACAGCTCAGAGGTATAGTACCTGCTTGGTAAGTGCAAGGTAACAAGTTTGATCCTTGGTACAAAAAAAAAAAAATATATCACTGGCTGCTATTGTTTCTGTTACGAGTGATGTTGTATAATTACAAGCATTCAGTGCTAATTTAAATTAATAACTCAACAGAGCATAACATTTCATTATATTAAATTTATATTTAATAATTACATAAACATTACATACTAGTGTGGTTTAAATGCGCTCTTCAAATTTTTGAAATGAATTTGTACAAGATTATAGATGTTCAGAGTTGTAATTTGTTTCTGAAAGTGCAGTGATTCGACAGAGATCAGGACAAGAAATGTTTTTCGGGTGCTTTTGAAGCCCTTTACTTTATTTTCCTCCAAATAGTTATCCTCTGGCTCCCTGTGAGGCAGATGGAAAACAGTCATTAGCATTCCACTTTGTAGGTTGGGAAATTAGAGCCCCGGGAGGCGACTGGTACCAGTAGTAAAGCAGAGGACCAGTGTGGGACCTCAGGTCTCGACTGATTCATTTGTCATCAACCTATTCAGTCGTGAATTCGGTCACAATCTTTTAGGTGTTTACTACATCCCAGGCTTTATCTTAGTTTGTTGTCATCAGGGTGCTTTGCACTTAGTAGTTACTTGATAAATACTTGAAATATTAGTTATGAGTGAATGAATGAATGAATGGATTATAATTACATTGGAGTACTAGAGTGGGCTGAGTTGCTGACTTCCTGGTTTTTATTTTTATTTCTTTAAAATATGTACATTTGTGATTTTCAAGTGAGTCTAGGTTAGCCTATGATGAAATAAGCCACTCTGTGAGCCTGATTTAAGGCCAGCTCAAGATGATTACGTATTTACAGAACAGCTGTGATGTGGTCCCTTCTAACTAACGCATAAAAGCTACAGTTACATTCTAAGCAGCAGCCCCTTCAGTCTTTATCATGGGCTCCAAGGGGATTCAGAAAACATTTTCTTTATTTGCCCTGCCCTGGTGTCTTTTGTGATCTGTTGTGGTGATAGCATCAGCACATCACAGAAGTTATAAGATTGTTTTGTCATCTTTGATTAAGTCTTTGTCAATGTTGTCTGGTCTGGGTGTTCCAAGGGGTTTGGCTAAGAGAGTATCAAGAAGTATTTAGATCAGTGATGAAAAGCAAATAGAATAACCAATGGGTCAAAGAAGTCACAATGGAAATTAGAAAATATTCACAATCAGACCGTGAGAATATTTTCTCCAAACTCAAAGAAGAATATAGAGGGAAATTTATAACCGTCAGTGCTTAGATTATGAAAAAAGAAAAGCTAAATTTTAATAAGTTAAGAATTCATTTTAAGGAAGAACTGAGTGAACAGCAAAAGCCAACACTGAAGGTGGGCAGAAGGAACAGTGGACAGCAGATCTAAGATTGTGGGCGTTGACAAAAGGACTACATTGTCTGCTGTTTTTTAACTTTCTCTGAGCTTTCTTTCACTTCTGGCATTCTTTGATCTCTGTTTTGGTGGCCTTCCCTCAATGATTCCAACTACTCCATCCCTCCAGTCCAGCTTTTGATTTTCCTTATAGATGTGTTTGTCACTGGTAGTAGGTTAGAGACTGAAAATATGAAATGGGAATAAAAGTAAGTTAAAGAAGTAAATCCATAAAACGTCCTTTGCTCCCGCAGTAGGAAGCGCCTACTGTGTGCCTAGCACGGTACTTAACCTTTCCTTGAATTATCTTATTTAAGTTCTACTTCTAAGGATGTAATGTGATTACACTCTTTCTTGGCAGATGAGAAAACTGCACATATCTAGGAAGGAGCCAGCTAGGATTTGAATCCAGGTCCACTTTCCTCAAAGCTGGTGCTGTGGGAGTGTTCTGTGTGGTTTGCTCAGCTGGGCCTAACAGTTGTTAGGGACCCAAAGGCTGGTAACACCAGCTGTGATACCAGCTGTCTGTGTGACTCATGTAACTACTAATGTTGATAGGGCTGAGGTGTCAGACTGTGCTCTGAATTGCTCCCAACACAGAATTAACTTAGACATTTCTTAATTGGGAAATGTACTGTGCTTACAGAAGAATATATAAATTTTATGGCTATGGGAATAAACATCTTCCCATTATCCAAGTTAAGAAATAGAATGGTACCAGCACCCAGGGCTTTCTTTAGTTTCAGCTACTAGACATTACCATCAGTCTGACTTTTGTGTTAATCATTCCTTTGTTTTTCTTTATTGTTTTAGTACCTTTTAAGATACATCCACACACAATGTTTTGTTTTGTTTTGATAGAAGAGCAGCAAGCCTAACATAGCTGTGTAAGGAAAGGACAGAACTGCCCTTTGTTAATGAAGGCCCCAAGATCAGGGAAACTTAGCAGGGTCTGGCTTCCCCTTTTCTGGGGCTTTATAAGGGCCTTTCCTGGAAGATGACAGGTAAGGTCATGAGTAGATCTGGGGAAGGCGAGGGCTTGTTACACCTGGAGGATCTGGTGGGTCTGATGTGTGAGAGGTGCCAGAAGTCCAGCAAGAATATTATCAGAAGAAGTGGGCTGCCCTGCACATTCATCTGTAAGGCTTGCTAGAGGCTAGTTTAACTCCCAGAGCTAGGTCAAGGGTAAGTGTTTCTGTGGAGTGAAATAAATGTTCACAGCTGACTTAGACAGCAGAAATTGACAGAAGGAATGTGTTAGTCTATGGTGAAGACAAGTGAAAAATAGATAAGAACTAGGGCCAGGCTTACCTGGATGTCTGGGAGTTAACTGCTTTCAGCATACTTCAGTCTTGAGTTATTGCTCCATTCTTTGAGAATGGTCAGTCTCCACATTTGGTAGAGAGCCACCATTCTGAGATTTCTCTTCATACTCATCCTATGTTGGGTGTCCTGCATTCTGAACACTATGTCTTCCTCTTTCTTGGCTTGGTAGATCACAAATCCTCTATTCAATTCTTTAGCATGTGTGTATGGAAATTAAAATTTCTGAGTGTGTCTGACATTTTTCTCATACTTGATTGACAGTTTGGGTATAAAATTCTGGGTTGGGCTATCACTTTCCTTTCAAATTTGATAGCATTGCTCTACTATCTTTTCAGAGTTGCTCAAAGAATTGTAAACCCATTTTTGTAAGTATCTGGAAGCTTGTCTAATTTTCTTTTAGTCCTAACCATTCTGCAATTTCATCATAGTATGCCTTGGGTGCTGGATACCCATGGGGCTTTTTGAATCCTGAAACTCAAGACTTTGTATTCTGAGAAATTTACTATCAAGTAAATCTACTGATGATTTCTTTTGTTCTATTCTCTTTCTTCTTTCCTTATGGAATTATAATTACTTGATTGTTAGAATTTCTTCATTAATCCTCTAATTTTCTTCTGTTTTCCATCTCTGCTTTTTTCCTATATTTACTCTTCATAGTCTCAACTTTATATACTCGTTTAACTTTTCATTTTTGCTATCATACTTTTAATTTGCAGAATCAATTGTAAACTGTTTCTTTGTTATAGCGTTAGCTGTTATTTTATGGGTGCAATCTCTTTATTTAAAGTTCATAATGATAGTTGGGGTTTTTCATTTACTTGATTGGGTTGTGTTTTCACCTGTGTAAACTTTTTATCCTACAAATTGCTGCCTCCTTTCCTCACTGTGTTGGCTTCTTTTGCCCATATTAGATATTCTCTTTGGGCACATGGTAGTCCTTGGTTGTCTTTATGCTTATTGATATGGAGGACTTTAACACCTACGGGGCATCCAGGTAAAACTTGTTACCATGAATTCCACTGTTAGGCATTTTGGGAAATGGCGGTAGTTCTATCTGTACGCCTTTTCTCTCGGATAGGTCTGATTCCTTGAATAGGCCACAGACTTCTTGCCCTAAGTGAAAGTCTGATTTCCAGATGTCTGGGTGCCCAGTTGATGAGAGGCCTGGGTGGCAGCAATGTTGATAGGGAAAAGCTCTACATTCAGTACTTATAATGCACTTGGTCATTTAAACCTATGCCTGTTTAGGGCATGATGTCCACTTCTGTAATTGTGCCTGGCATCATAATCCAAATCTCTCTTTTACCTTTTCCAGAATATAAATCTGCAGAAAGGGACAGTTGTTAGTGACTTGGAATGGCCAAGTGTACCTAGAGATCTAATTCATAAACCACTTTGACTTCATCCTTACTTACATCATTTCCTTCAGTCTCAGAGGTGCCTGATGCTGACAGTTCCAGAGCTCTTGACAGATTCTAAGGATATACACTATGAGGTTTTCAGATTCCCCATGTTTGGCTTAGAATTTTGCTTCTGGAGTCTTCTAAGTCTTTTACTGTTCATTCATCCATCCATCCATCCATCCATCCATCATTCAGCAAGTCTTCAAGCCCTTGCCTCTGTGCCAGGCTCTCTTCTACCTAGATTGGGGAAACCTTGGTGGGTCAATGCTGGTGAGTAAATTGGCAGAAAGCCTTGTCCTGGAGATGCTCACACCCTGGTGGGTGGAGGTAGACAATAAGCTGAAGGAAGCAGATCACCACACGTGTTAGAAGGTGCTAAGTCGTACAGAAGGTCAGTAAAATGAGTCAGGGCATGCAGGTTTGAGAAAGGAGCAGGAAAGAAAAGTTTTTAATTTAGAGAGAGAAGCCAGAGAGTTCTCATCGAACAGGTAGAATTTGAACAAAGATTTCAACGAGGGGAGGGCATTATCTGTGTGCCCCGGTGGGAGGAGGACATTCTAGGCAGGAAACACAACCAGAGGCAAGACCTGGAAGAGGAGCATGCTAGGTGTTTTCAGAAAACAGGAGGTCAACCTAAGGGGTGTGAGCTAGGGAAGAGGAATGGAAAGTGAGGTCTGAAGTGGAGCTTCCCTTAGTACTGATGATTACAGACAAAGACTTTTGTCTGATACGGGCCTTGAAGGTAACTGTTTGAAGGAGGCTTTGACTCTGAAACGGTGAGGACACAGTTGAGATGTTTTTAACTGTGTGATCTGACTTGTTTGTAAATGATGAAACTCCGGAACTGTGGCATTAAGAGCAGATTGTGGGGAGCAAGGAGCCTAGATTGGCAGCCTCTGCCCTTTCCTGGTTATACCGTACAGGTGGGTAGGAGCAGGTGGCAGTACACGAGGTGATGAGAGAGTTGGGCTTTATAGCTGTGTCTGTGGTATGTGGATACTGGTCCTGTGTGGCTGCCAAGCTCTTTAAGCACACCTGAGATTCTTTTTTTTTTTTTTCTTTCCATACTAGGATTTAACCCAAGGCCTTTGCACTGAGCTGCACCTCCCCCACCTTTTTTATTTTTTATTTTGAAACAAGATCTTGCTAAATTTCCCAGGTTGGCCTCTGACTTTCGATCCTCCTGCCCATGGTTCTAGAAACCTGGGATCATAGGCTTTTCCACTATGCCTGGCTCCACACTGACATCCTGTGAGCTGGGCACACACTACCTTTTGAGAACTTAACATGAATGAGGGAATGTAACCTATCTCACTACTTTTGATACTGACAATGTGTGGGAATGGCATTATTTTCATATCTTGGATTAATTAGGATATAGGATTAAAATCTTTTTTTTTTTCCAAGAAGGTGCCTGCTAATTAGAAGGTTTGAAATTGCACTTATGGCTGGCGTTTGTCTCCTGCATTCTCTGTCTTTTGGACAGGACTTTTCTGGATGTAGCCCTAAGAGTAAGCCAACAGGATCTGCTGATAGTTTGCAGCTCTGAGGATGACCTGAGATATTGGTGGAGGAAGACTGTGGGCAGTTGGGTGTACAAGTTCCAGTCTCAGGGACAGTTTGGGCTGGAGGTGAAAGTATGGGATCAGCACCAGAGATCATGTTCAAGCATTCAAGCCATGAGACTTGATGAAATCGTGTCCAGATCACTTATAGCTTCTAGATCCTTTTCCATATCATTGTAAGCTTGTAGCTTATGTTTTTATTTTTTCTTATTTTGTCTTGTTTGGTTCAGGCCTTCACTCTTTTAAAGGGTTTTAGGAGGGAGATAGAGTGGATGTATATGTTTACTATCCAATTCTGTATCAGCTTCTTTAAACTCGTGTAGTTGTTTTTCTAGTCTTTTACTATGATGGAAGAGGGAGGCCCATGAAATTTCAGTACAGATTGAGTATTCTTTATACTAAATGGTTGGACCATAAGTATTTTTGATTCCTGATTTTTTTCAGATTATGGAGTATTTGCATGTAGAATGAGATATCTTGGGGATGGGATTCAAGTCAAAACACAGCATTCATTTATGCTTTACATATACCTTATACATAAAGCTTAAAGGTAATTTTGTTTTAAAAAATTTTTTGGGGCAGGATCTCGCTATGTAGTTCAGATTGGCATTGAACTCACTGCTATCTTCCTGTCTTACCCTCCTAAATGCTGGGATTAAGGTGTGAGCCACCACACCTGACTTGGTAATTTTATATAATATTTCAAATAACTTGGTACATGAAACAAGGTTACATGGTGTAGAATTGTCAACTTGTGGCCCCATGTTGGGACTCAAAAAGTTTGGAGTTTAGAGCATCTCAAATTTCAGATTTTCAGGTTAGGGATGTTCAATTTATACTCAGTACAGACCTCCCTTCCTCCCCCCCACCCCACTCCATCAGACTTTCTGGAAAAGTAATGGCTTTTGCTTCTTCCATAGGCCAGAAGGTTGCTAGATCTTGCCACAGTGAAGGCAAATGGATTAGCTGCCTTCCTGCTACAGTACATTGAGGAATCACCAGCCTCATTGTCTCTGCCTTTTGAGGGTATGTATTTGTTCTTCTCAGGGAAGGGAAATAAACACAGGAAGAGCAAAACACACGTCAGTTACCATCCCACACATTGGCTACGTAGTCGCTGAGTTCCCTAGGACTCAGTTTCCTCATTTTAAGGCTAGCCACCAAGTGACTCATGAGGCTATTGAGAAGATTTAAAAGGAAAAGCATTAATATTCACTCTTAGCTTTCATTACTTCCTGCACAATAATAGTTGGAACCAGCACGTATTGAGGGCTAACTATAAATGTTTCTTACAGTCTGAACTCTTACCATCTGTACCACAAAGATACAGATAGACTTTTTGAGAGGGGAGCTCATATCACTTGATTGCTGAAAATTAACTACTCATGATCATAAATGCAAGACTCAAGTGAATTTAGACAATGTGACATTTCTCAATGCCTAGAGTCACCAACTCAAGAGTGGAGGAGATTTGTCTTGCATAGCTGGAACATGCCAGGCATCTGGCTGGTACTTTATGGGTAGTATCTGCCCTTTGGAATAACCCAAGAAGTAGCTGTTGTTTTCTGTACTTTATAGTTTACATGACAAGGTAGGGGAAGATGGATCTGACTCTAAGCCTTTACTTTCTTCTTGAGAGAAGACTGTCAATTAGAAAGAGAAGATGTAAATCTGTGGCCCTTCCAGCCTTGTTCCCACATCCCTGGGGGGACAGCTTTTCAGTGCCAAAGCCTGAGCAGTGTGGCTGGTGCTGACAGATGGGTTTGCTGCCCCAGGCCTGCCCTCTGGGTGGTGAGGAAACCGTGTGGCTGGCTGGCTGGCTGGGGGTCTGTGCTTGGATGTGGGTGTCCACATCGCCTCCAAGAACATGGTACAGACATCACTGCACAGACAAAGCTGGCCATGTCATAGTGTAAGGCACTTCCAGAATGACAACTGATGTGTGATCATTTCTCTTCCAAATGAGGGAGACTTTATTTTTGGAGGGTTTTAGGATTGTTGGTGATGGCTGGGAATCTGTGTTGGAAGTCAGGCTTTTGGAAAGGAAGATATGTTTCTTCTGATGTCTGCCTAGAGCTGCTGATATATCCGGGGGTCAGAAACAGTGACAATAATCATCAGCTCTGTGAACAGAAGAGACAGCAAAAACTGGGTGTGGTACCACACGCTTGTAGACTTGCCAGTGTGGGAGGCTGAGGCAAGAGGATTGCTTGAGCCCAGTAGTTTGGAGCCACTCTGGGCAGCATAACAAGACCCTGTCTAAAGAAGAAGGAGAAAGAGAAAAAGAAAAGGTGACACAGACATAGAGCACCTGCTTTGTATGACTGTGCAAGGACTTCAGAGAGCTGATCTCTTCTGTGCAGTTACTTGTTGGCCTCTGGTTTGAGAGCAGGTGGGCTTGGCTGTGGGTCATGAGGCTGTGAGGAGTTGAACTATGCTGCCATCCTGCCAGCCTAGGACTCTGGACCAGCACTTCCCCATTTTCTGAAACGGCAATTACACACTGGCACAGGAAGTGAGTTAAATGTGGTGGTACCAGGGTGATACCAGCCAAGCAGCAGCCTTCTGGATGTACTCTGGGCTCAAGAGCTTTTCCTGCAAAGGCAGGGAGCAGGGATGAAGACATGCAGGCAGGAGCAGAGGATCTTGTTTGGTGCTTGGTCTGGGTGTCCTGGTGACCCAGAAGCCCTGCAGTGCCAACCTTGGTAGATTATGTAGGTTTGTCTCCCCGCCTTCAGGTCTCTGACCACATCACCTCTGTGGAGTCCTTCTTACCTTGTAAGGAATGTAGTCCCAGTTTCCAGGGGTCAGAACATGGACATCTTTGGGTGGGGGGTGGTGGTGGTGGTATGTGTGTTGTGCCTACTGTATTCATTAATAATACAGTAATGCATTTGTGATTGTTTATCCAGTGTCACACATTTTTCTAAGCCCCATCTTATCTCAGTGCCTCAGGAGCACTGGCTGGTTGTCCTGTGTTTGCAGGTAAGAACACTGAAGTGCAGACAGTTTGGTAGCTTGGCCAAGTTAGTGGTAGGCCAGGGTGTGTCTGACTTCAGACCCTGGCCTCCTGTGCTTTTTACATTCTGTTTCCCTTTAGAAAGAGGTAGTTGGGGGAGGGGTGGTGAATGGACTTGTCTTTGGCCATCTAGCCAATGTGGAGGGGCAGACATCTGAACACAGGTCTCCTGACTCCAGCCCAGCACTTTCTGGTGCCAATAATAATTGTGGCAACAGCCAATGTCTTTTGAGCACTTTCTGTTGGATGCTGTCCTTGGTCCTTGACATGAGTTATTTCTGTTGGTCCAGAGTTCTATAAGGTAGGGACCATCATTTTTTCAACCTTACAGGGGAGGAGACTGAACCTCATTGGGTCTTCTCTCCCATTGGCAACATCATAACCCCAGCCTGCTCTGTGGTTACTCCCATTCTGACCATAATCTCCGCACCATTACCTCTTCTGCCTTACAGCTGCTGAATGCCAGAGGTACATATCCAAGCTGAGGACCACAGTATCTGCTCAGTCCCGCTCTCTCAGTACCTACGATGGTGTGGAGAATCTCTGCCTGGAGGACATTTACACGGAGAATATCCTGGAGCTCCGGACGGAGGTGGGATCCCTGAAGAAGAGTCCTTCCACCCTGGGCCTGGAGGAGCTTTTCAGCACCCAAGGCCACCTCAATGAGGATGCAGACACTGTGCTGGTGGTGGGTGAGGCAGGTAGTGGCAAGAGCACACTCCTGCAGCGGCTCCACTTACTCTGGGCTACAGGGCGGGACTTCCAGGAGTTCCTCTTCGTCTTCCCGTTCAGCTGCAGGCAGCTCCAGTGTGTAACCAAACCTCTGTCTGTAAGGACGTTGCTCTTTGAGCACTGCTGTTGGCCTGATGTTGGTCAACAGGATGTCTTCCAGTTCCTCCTTGACCACCCTGACTGTGTGCTGCTAACCTTCGATGGCTTTGATGAGTTCAGGTTCAAGTTCACAGACCAAGTGCGTCACTGTTCCCCAGCTGACCCTACGTCGGTCCAGACTCTACTTTTCAACCTACTTCAGGGCAACTTGCTGAAGAATGCCCGCAAGGTGTTAACCAGTCGACCCGACGCGGTGTCAGCGTGCCTCAGGAAATACATACGCACCGAGTGTCACCTCAGGGGCTTCTCAGAGGAGGGCATCGAGCTATACTTGAGGAAGTGCCATCATGAACCTGGCGTAGCAGACCGTCTCATCCACTTGCTCCGAGCGACTTCAGTCCTGTATGGTTTGTGCCACCTTCCTGTGTTCTCATGGATGGTGTCTAAATGCCACCAGGAACTGTTGCTACAGAATGGGGGGTCCCCCCAAACCAGCACAGATATGTATCTTCTGATCCTGCAGCATTTTCTGCTGCATGCCTCCCCTCCAGAGGCTGTCTCCCGCGGCCTGGTACCTGGCCTCCTTCGGAGCAAGCTGCCCTCGCTCCTGCACCTCGGCCGCCTGGCCTTCTGGGGCTTGGGCAGGTGCTGCTATGTGTTTTCAGCTCAACAGCTCCAGAAGGCACAGGTCGACCCTGAGGACATTTCTCTTGGCTTCTTGGTGCGTGCCCAAGGTGTGGTGCCAGGGAGCACGGCACCCCTGGAATTCCTGCACATTACTTTCCAGTGCTTTTTTGCTGCATTCTACCTCGTGCTCTGTGTGGATGTGCCAAAAGCCTCGCTCAGACACCTCTTCAAGTGTCGCAGGCCAGGAAGCTCCCCACTGACCAGGCTGTTACCTGTACTGTGTGTCCAGAGCTCCAGAATCAAAGAGGGCAGTGTGGCAGCTTTGCTACAGAAGATCGAACCACACAACCTTCATCTCACTGCAGCCTTCCTGGCAGGGCTGTTGTCCCAGGAGCACCAGGATCTGCTAGCTGAGTGCCAGGCATCTGAGAAGGCTCTGCTCCAGCGCCATGCTTGTGCCCGCTGGTGTCTGGCCCGCAGCCTCCGCAAGCACTTCCATTGCATCCCGCCAGCCGTGCCAGGTGAGGCCAAGAGCATGCATGCTATGCCTGGCTTCGTCTCGCTCATCCGGAGCCTGTATGAGATGCAGGAGGAGCAGCTGGCCCGGGAGGCCGTAAGGGGGCTGGATATTGGGCACCTCAAGTTGACATTTTGCAGCGTGGGCCCAGCCGAGTGTGCTGCCCTGGCTTTTGTGCTGCGGCACCTCCAGCAGCCTGTGGCCCTGCAGCTGGACCACAACTCTGTGGGTGACATTGGCGTGGAGCAGCTGTTGCCCTGCATTGGCATCTGCAAGGCTCTTTAGTGAGTGTTGCTGGGAACTTCTGGTTGGGCATAGGACAACGACACTATCAAGAGTAGGAATGGGGGTGCATGGTTGGGATCCAGAACCTGGCCCTGGGCCCAATTCTGCTACTGTTCTGTATAATACAGGACAGACCTATTCCCAGGTTGGGGCTTTAATTTCAACACATGATAAGGAGAGCCCTACTTTGTTGAAAGTCGTAATAGGCTTGGTGTACTACACTTTCTGTACCTCATTACTGGGCTGTCATCAGGGACATTATTATCCCCGTTATTCTTGATTTGAGGCTCAGAGGAGGGAAGTAACTTGCCTGAGGTCACACAGAAAATGGTGAGCTAGATTTCACAAATTACATCTCTCTAGTCACAAGTTTCTTGCTCCCCACAAGTTGACTATGGATGCCCTCCCTGGGCTCTAGAGAAACCCTGAGGTCAGGTGCCATGTCGTATAATGTGTTTTTGTATGAGGATACTTCAAATTAAAGATGATTGTGCCCTATCAGAGCCTTTAAAATTCCAATAAGATGGACATTTCAGGTCCTGAGAGAAAAAATAGCTGAGGAGTTTTGCTCCACCCTTTCATTTCTTGGGGAGTGTGATATCCAGGGAGCACCGGGTAGTACCCTTACTGCTTCCTGCTGCCTGGTGAGGATGTGAGGTTTTGATCTTTGTGCCCTTCCGTGGCTCAGGGCAGGTCAGAGCAGGGACATGCCCATGCCCAGACCACTTTCCCTCCAGACCTTGAAAGGAGATGTCATGCCAGCTCCTCTTTTGAGCCTTTGAGAAAGCAGAAGTTGTAGATTAAAGTTAAAATCTATTCACAACCTCCTGGGGCTTTGGGGCTACTTTCAGCTGACCTTAATTGATGCCGATCAAAGGACAAGACTCTCCTTGAATGCATTAGGATGTTTATTTTCTCTGAGGCTTTTCTCATAAAACAAACACAGTCATCTACTCGAACCTGTGCAATGACTTGCTAACCCTTACACAGGGCCTGAGGCCATAAATTTATACACAATCTAAAATGTGTATACTTACCATAATATGTATATTATACACAGGATCTTGAAAGGGACAGATGTCACACTTAAATTGCGAAATTAGGGGGAATTTAATAAAAGGACTGTCTATAGAGCTGAGGGCAGGAGTCAGGAAGAATGAAGAGGGCTGAGCAAGGATCCCGGGGCTAGGAGCAGGTCATGGACATGGGGCAGGGAGGGGAAAGGCAGTACTTAGCAGCTGAGAGGAAGGTATGAGGGCCACCTGAGCTTAGCAAGCTGGGATCTAGAGGAGCAAAACCTAGCTCCTGCTCTCCTCCTGACTCCACTTCCTGCTAGTGGTGCCATCCACACAGGTATCCATCCACCTCCCAGGCCCAAGGGCTTGGAAGAGGAGGGGGAGAGTGGATCTGGCCAGGTAAAAGAAATGCAACCAGCACAACTGTCCATTTCCTTTAGAGGGAAATAGCTTGGTACTCTGACTGGGGAATTTGGAGACCTTCTGTCGAAGGTACTGATAGAAATTTGAATGTGTGTTTCTCTGGATAAGGGAGCCATAGTTTTTACCAAGTTCTCAAAGTAGTCCTTGAACCTTGAAGAGACCAGGTACCACTCAGCTGGATGATGCCAGCAGACCATCCCATCCTGAGAATTCTTGAGTGGGTTTTATTTTTTTCAACTAGGAATATTCATTTGACAGCCCCACCCCATCCTGGTGGTATGTAGGGGCTAGGGAGCCTGTGGATCTGTCTTTAGTTACAAATAATAGTGAGGCTGACCTGGTTATAGCTTGTGATACTCAGATGGCAGTAGGCAAAGTTGCCTGTTGAAACACAGATTCCTAGGTCTGTACTTAGTAATTCACTTTCACTGGGTTTGGGCTGGGTCCTCGGAATCTGTACATTTAGCAGATATCACTAGCGATTCTGTTATGGTTGGTGTCACACTGTGGGAACTTCTCGTAGACAGGAATCAGCTTGATTTTTGTAATCAGTTGCTGTGGTTTGGATAAATGTCCCTTAGATGTTTTGTGTTAAAAGCTTGTTCCCCAGGGTAGCGTTATGGGGTGCTGATGGAATCTTTTTTAGGTAGGCCCTTGTGGAAGGTCTTTAGGATATTATAGAGATGTCCTTGAAGGGGATCATGTGACCCTAGTCCATTTTTCTTCCTCTTCATTCATGATGCAAGCAGCTTTGCTCCTTTATACACTCCAGCCATGGTGTGCTGCCTTGCCACAGGCCCCAAAGCCATTGGCACCTATAGCTAATGTACATAACTCCTAAAAGTATGTGTCAAAATAACCTTTTCCTTTTATAAGTTAATTACCTTAGGTATTTTGTTATAGTGATGGCAAGCTGACACAATAGTTAAAGTCCTTGACTAAGTCTAGTGCTTCTTACCCTACAAACAACTGTGAGGCTGCTCTCTCTGTGTGTATGTGTATTCACAGAGGGAGAGAAGAAAAGAGGAAGGGAGAAAGGGGGACTGGCAGTTCTCCCACAGTGCCAGGCAGTGTCTCACCCACTCGAGTTTCCATGCCAACAGAAACCCACAGCCTCTAGGAAACCCAGTATGCCGAGTGCCCCCATGCAGGCTTCTTTAGAACTTGGCTTCCTCTGACTCAAGGGTGATGGAATTTTTGGCTGTGACCCACAGCCAGTGAGAGGTCAAGTAAGTGAGTGGGCACACCAGAACCAAAGCTTCATGAAATGGCTCTCCCTTGTTAAGTCTGACGCACTCCACTCTCTTCTTCTGTCTGCTCTATTTCAGTTTTTAAAATGTTGCTCAGGACCTTCAAGGTTGGTTTCCTGGCCCATTCTTGGGTCACAGGCTCTGGAGAACCAGAGAAAGCCACAAGGGGGAGACTTTGGTGTGGTGGTTAGGAGTGGGGTTTGGGGCCAGACTTCACTGTGTGACTTTAGCAGCCACTCCCTATATCTGTACCTCAGTTTCTTTCTCTCCAGTGGACTTAATTGTAGCACCTTTTTTATGGGTGGTAGTGAGGGTTAAATAAGGTTACTGTTGGGAAGTGCCAGGCACATCAAGGCTGCCTACAGGCTCATGCTGATGACTTTGCTCTGGGCTGAGTGCTCCCAGGGCTTCATGTGAGGGTGAGGCTGGCAGTGGCATTGTTCTCTTCTTGTAGATGAAGGGACCAGCAAATGGCTGGTGTGCAACTGAGGGATTCCAGTACCTGGGAAGATAACCACTTAGCCAGGGCCTTCCAAATTGGCCTGAAGATGAAGAACCATATGCACCACAGATGTTAAAATACATAGATTCCTGAGTCCTGCCTCATATAGAATCGCAGGCTCCAGGGTGGGGGTCTGAGCATCTGCATTTTATGGAAGCTTTCAGGTGACCTCTTGATCAGGTGAGTTGTAGGCATGATGCCCCAAGATGGTTCTGGCTGATCTTTCTTGCAGATCAACTCTTTTCCACCTTGGGGCCATAGGGAGGCTGCTGTGATGATGGCTGTCCTCTTGTGGGGATGGAAACTGGGCTTCAAGTTAGATCGGTGACTTTTGGAGGATGGAAGTGTTCTTAAGTAGGGACTCTGAGTCCCTACTTCTTGGATTGTCTCCATCATAGTCAGCTCCCTGATCAGAGATGCTGGGGGTTTTCTGGGGTGTTCTGTCCTGGTGATTTCCAGAAACACAGATGCTGGCATTTAGGGGTTGAGTGAGTATTTTGGGGATACTTTATACATTTCTTTCATTTTATCAATGCGACTTTTGAATTAATTTATTTTTGTCTTTTTTAGTTTGCGTGATAACAATATCTCAGACCGAGGCATCTGCAAGCTCATCGAGCATGCTCTACACTATGGGCAACTGCAGAAGTTGGCGTGAGTTGGGCTGGGCTGTGGGCACTGGGCCTTGGGTGCCCCAGTCTCACTCCAGGCCCAGCTGCCTGGGCAGCTATGAGTGAGAGACGGGCTGGGGCAGGGATGTTGCATGGAGGGTTCAGGGTGACTCCTGGACAGCTTGGGTTTAAGGGTTCCCTGGCCATGTGCCTCATCTCATGTCCTCTGTCTCTGGATACAACAGTCTGTTCAACAACAAACTGACAGATGGCTGCGCACATGCCATGGCCAAGCTCCTTGAGTGCAACCAGAACTTCTTGGCATTGAGGTGAGCCCTGGGTTTCATTGTGCCTTGGAAACTAATGTTCCACAGCCAAGTCAGTGTGGTCCAATTTCCAACATGGCCTGGTTGCCAATGGGCTTGTTACTGAATGCAGGATGGCCAGAACTGGGTTTCTCCAGTGCTGTGGCCTCCTCTGGGGCAGCACTGCTGAGGTCTTCCTGCCCTCTGGACCTTCAGCCCTCAGGGAGAACAAGTTTCCAAGCTCTTTTCTTTTTGTCTCTTGAGTATGACAAACTTTCTGGAGGTAAAGGCTCCCTGATGCATATCGAGTGGGGGCGTGCACACTCACTTGCTTCCAGAAGGGTGGCAGCCTTTGACTGCTGTGCTCCCAGAGGCTTTTTTTTTTTTTTTTTTTTGTGGTACGGGAGATCAAACTCATGACCTTGTGCTTGCCATGCCGCTGAGCAATTTCCCGGCCCCTCCCAGAGGCTTTTCAATATTTGGAGCCGGCAAAGTTTGTGCCTCTGTCCAGAAGGCCTGCTATCCTGCTGCTCCCAAGTCTCCTGGCCTTGCCTAGAGTCTCTGTTCTGGGAGATGCCACTGAAATGGCCCTCCAGTTGGTCCCTGGGTTGGCTTGGCTTTCCATTTTGGTCTTGCCTCTTTCTGAGGAACTGCTTCCAATAATTCTTTTCACTTGCTGGGATGGATTTGAGGATGGAAGCTACCATTTAAAAATTTGGCCATGGAGCTTGATCTCTGCCAGGACTGCTGAGTCTGAGCCTAGCAAGATTCTGTTCTGCCATTCTCGCCCCCCAGCCCATCTGCCCAGGGAGGAGTATAGGTAGCACAGGGTGCTAGAATTTGTGGTCAGTGCATTATCACTTGACAGCAGGGGCTTTGGAGCCATGATGTGTAAATCTAGGAACCCCAAGATTTGAAACCTCATTGGCTACCTGAGCTGGGGCTAGCTTCCTGTCTCTGTGCCTATTTCCTTTCCTGTAGAGTGAGGATAATGGTTATAGCCAACTCAGAGGTGGTTGGGGGGCGGTGAGTTAATGTATGTAAAGCGCTGGTGCCGTACAGTAAGTGCTTTATATAGCAAGCTCAGCGAAAGCTCGTGGGTAAATTATGTAAGCTCACAGATTGTGTATCCTTATGCTAAGGCCTCCAAGAAGGAATTAGATGTGCAACAGATTTACTGGAGAAAATGTCTCCAAGTTTGAATGAAGAGGGAGCTTGGGGAGGCTGGGACATGTGATCCTACATGAAAAGAGAGAAGGGAGGAAGAAAGGTAAGAAGATTGGGAGGAACGTGGACTTCAGTGGGCCTCTGGGGGGCCCAGTCTGCCTTGCAGGGTGGTCTCCTGGTCTAAATCACTGGCTGGCCACAAGTTATGGGGTTGGATTTCAGAGCACAGCAGCCTGAAGGAAAAACTCCAGAGAGCTGAAGTTGGGGGTCTCAGAAACATAATCTCATGACCCCAATCCCTTTTCCAAGGAGATAACACCTGCCTCATAAGGTTGTTGCAAGCCAGAGTGACCCCAAACTCTTCAAAAGATGAAAGCACATGATGTTTATTGCAGAGAGCTGGGAGTTGTGAGTGAGAGTTCCAGGGGCTTCTCAGATACTCACAGAGGGATGTGAATGTGGCTGCAGCTGGAGCCTTCCTTGCTGGGATCCCGCATGCACTTTCTGCTGCAGCAGCCCTCTGGGGGTTAGCAAGGAGCGCTCTCAGAAAGCTCCATAGGATCCCTGTTCAGCCGCCTCGACCTGTCCTGGGATCTCGCAGAACAGGTAGATAGGTGGTTCTGTGGCTACAGAGGATCTGGAAAGTTCACACTGAGGCTGTCTGACATCAAGAAAGAACAGGTGACAGTGAGTCATCCTAATCCCCTGGGGAAACCACCTTCCAGGAAACTACCTGCTGCGCTTCCTGCCAGACCTGTTACACTGCTTTGCAAAATAAGTGCTTCTTTCCTTTCACTGCTAAAAAACAAAGTGGAGGTTGTTGGAGCCACTGAACCACATTGACTGGGCCACACTGGTGGCTGCACCTGTCTGGGAGAGGCCTGCAGAGCTGGAGAGAGAAGAGGCTCTCCCTTCCCCGCACACTGACAGGTCTTTCTCCTGTCCATGCCTGTACTTTCAGCCTCCTCTGTCCTTCCTTCCAGGCTTGGGAACAACCATATCACGGCTGCAGGCGCACAAGTGCTAGCCCAGGGGCTCCGGAGGAATGCCTCCCTGCAGTTTTTGGGGTAGGTTGGATTCTGGACAAAGGGCCTACATGTAGTTCAGGGCTTTTGAGAATTTAGGTGCAGGTGAAACACTTTGCCAGGAGGCCCCAGAGGAGAGTGGGAGAGGGTTGGCCTTAGGCTTCCTCTGCTTGGCTTCTTCACCTGATAAACAGGATGTTCCTGGTGACAGGGCAGGGAGAGGGCAAAGCCTGTGGTAGGGCAGGAAACCCGTAAGTCCGTGGGGATGCTCAGGGCTGGGCTATGGCTATACCGTGGAAGCATTTGTGCTTCTAGAGAACACGGTCACCTGAGCCCCTTACCAGAAGATAAAATGGAAATATCTAGGGGCAGGGCATCCAGGGTGAAGGTGTGGAGAAGGAGGAAAGGGACCCAGCAGGGGACATCCTTTGATCTCTGCCAGAGAGGGAGTCAAGTCTCATATACTGGGCCCCAAAGCAGGGCTTCCTCCGGTTGCTGGGCAGAGCAACTTCTCATAGGGTTGCACTCACACCATCCCCAGAAGACCCTGACTTGTGCAGACTGGAGTCCATCTGACAAAAGCAGATTTTAAAATCTAAGGCTGTAGAAAGAGAAAACAACCTTAGGGCCCTGGTGTTCCCCCAGTTCATAGGCAGGCAAGTTTCCTAGGAGCTCAGACCTAGCCATGCAAGTGTTGCTCCGGAAACCAGCACCTCTTTCATACTGTATCAGTAGCAACTGAGTCTAGAACAAAAGAGACCCCAGCCCCACGGAGCTGTTTTCCTCTTGCAGTCTCACCTGCCGCATGTTGCTTCCCTCTCAACATGTATTTATTAGGGTATCTGTTTGGGGTTTTCTGTGCTAAAACCCCAACCCCAAACACTATCATATGGTGCAAAGTGTTATATAACTTGCATATTTGTATTTGCTTTGTATTACCATCTTTTTAGATCATTGTGGTCTCATTCTTTAAAAGAAGAGCCGCATAGTGTTCCACCATTTGGATGCCTGATGCCTTAAATAGACAACTTAGGTTTTTGACCATCATAATGTCATGTCCCCAGGACATAGCGCCGTGTTCACTAAATTCTCACCCAATGAGTGAAAGCACAGTGAGCATCCTTATGCAGCTCTCCATGCTCACACTTACATGTGTACACCCAGGACAAGTCCCTATATGTATGATGGCCACAGCAAGGTGTGAGCTGGACTCCGCCTTCTGCAAAGGGATGTTTCCAAAGTATGGAGGAGCAGAGGAGGATACCCCAAAGGGAAAGGAGTTGGACACTGGGAAGGAATTGGAGGAATTACAAGGAACAAAACATCAGGAGCTTGCTTATGGAGGAAGAATTAGACTTGCTCCCAGTGGTGCCCCAGGGCAGTTACAGATTTGAGAGTGTCAGCTACCTGAAGGAAATATGAACTAAAATGTTTGGAAAAATATCACAGCCATGTGAATTACAGTTGAGAGCAAGTTTCCCAACTCTGAGGATATAGGCTAGGTGGGCCTCTATTATTGTTGAACTGATTTAAAGTCTCTGAAAAATCTGGGTAATGTTGGCCATCCCACCACAAAGACGGCAGCAGGTCTACTTTGGTAATGTGTTCCCATGAGACCTCCTCAGGACTGGGTGGCCCTGCCCCTCCTCACTGGGACTGGAGAAAACAGCAGCACTAGCTTGAGTCTAGAGTATGCAGCAGGTACTCACTCATTCTCCTTGGACTCTGTTTGGGCTTTGCAGGTTCTGGGGCAACACTGTGGGTGACGAGGGTGCTCAGGCCCTGGCTGAAGCCTTGGGTGACCACCAGAGCTTGAAGTGGCTCAGGTAAGCTGCAAGATCTGATCTGCATTTGTTATACTAGGGGTACTTGGGCCAGTTCTGAAGATAACTGAACTGCATTTCATCTGCTCTGTACTGGGCAGCAGGGTGCAGGAGAAAGACCACTGGATTTGGAGGCAGGATGTTAAGAGACCTTTCTAGGGGACTTTGGAAATGACCCTCCCCTCTTGGGCTCTTGATTCTCTAGTGGAATCAGTCACTTTTGTCTTGAAGCTAATTCCAATGCATTGATAGTGGCTGCCCAGTGTGCCCCATTGAGAAGACTTCTAAAGCTGTTCCTGGGCTTAGTGATTGTTGTAATGAATTAGCAATGCCCAAAATAAAGTACTCGAGGGTAAGGCTGTTGCCAGACAGTTTGCCCTTCACTGGCTAGCTTGTCTCTGAGGTTTCCCCTTGCTCTGACACATTTTTACTTTATGCTTATTATTTCCAGCCTGGTGGGGAACAGCATCGGCAGCATGGGTGCCCAAGCCTTGGCACAGATGTTGGAAAAGAATGTGGCACTAGAAGAACTCTGGTGAGTTTGGAGGATTCTCTGTCTTTCTTGATAGCCTGGCCTCATCCAGGGAGCAGCTCTGTGGATAAGATGAAAGTTGATTGCTGGGTGACTGATGATATTTGCTTTTATGTACTGAGTGGTACAAAGAGTCTCGAACTATGTGTATAGCTGCTAATTCTTTTTATTCAATTATATTTATTGGTTTTCTGGGTTGCTTACTAACTGCACATGGCATAATGGTTAAAAGTACAGACTATAGAATCAAGCAGGCTGTTAACTTAGGCAAATTAAACAACAACCTCTGAGTCTCAAGTTTCTTACCTATAATATTAGGGTAAGAATTCATCCAAGTGTAAAAAGATGTTTGTAAGAACATCTGCCAGTGAATAGCTTAATATAGTGCCTGGCATATGTGTAAGCACTCTATAAATGTTAAATGGCAGCAGTGGTAAAGTTACTACTACTGTTGCTTCTACTGCTAAGGTGTAGTCTACTACCAGTACTATGCTTGCTACTAGTAGTGAGGCTTTGTTATTTTAAAGTGAATTGGAGATTCTAAGAACCCGAGCATTAGAAGCAGGGCTCACCTTGGAGCATGATGGTGTTGGGAATATTTGAAAAATGAATCAGGAATTATGTTTACTCTGTTGACCTGAAGAGGTTCCTAGTTTTCCATCCTTTAGATGCCATAAGAGAGTCTTCAGCCCCAGGGACATCTTTGCAGTTCCAAATATACTAGGAAGATAAAATGCTGAATGTTGATTTTTTCCAGGAAGTAGAAAAGCACTACTCCATATAAGCAAAGTATAGGCATCACCACAAAATGGTTATTGTGAGTGGGCCTTGCCTATTGGCTGGGCCTATGAGCTCTGCTACAGTACCACTGATTATATCCTGATTGGACTTTGCCACTTATTTCTTGATAGAGGCAAAGCTTAGTGTCAGTACATCAATTACAATCACTATTGAAAAGAACAACTTGAGACAAGTTACATTTAGTAAAGTTTATTTGAGTAAAGACTGATTCACGAAGCAGGCAGCACTCAGAACCAGGAGAGTTCAGGAAGTTCCACTCAGCAATGTGGGCAGCCTGTATCTCTAGACGGGAAGAGTTTGGTGGGTTTCAGCTCTGTGTTTGCCTTATTTGGGCATGTTGTGATGAGTTGGCGACTGTAGCTGGCTGAAGCTTGGCTGCTATAATGGGCTGTATATGACAATCCTAGACCCTTCTTAAGGTTCAGTTTGTATACATTCTAAGTTAGGTTGCAATTTGCTGCATGAATTCTCAAAGTATGGAGGTAACTTCAGGCCAACTAAGTTTAACACTCAGTTCAACTTACCAAATAGAAAACCTCTACCTGTACAAGCTCAAATCATTGAAGGGTTTATTTTTGCACATATGGACAGTTTGGAGGTAGTAATATAGGACTGTTATTGTGACTACAATGAGCTAGCATGGGCCTTAGCACACACACACTGTCTCTCTTTCTCTCTTTTGTAGTAGAGGTGCAACCCAAGTCCCTTGCACTAAGCTGTATCTCCAGCCCTTTCTTTGTCTTTAAAATTTTGAGACATGATTTTCCTAAATCCCTAAGTGGCCCAGGTTAGCCTCAAATTTATTATCCTCCTGCTTCAGCCTTCCAGAGTGCTGGGGTTACAGGTATGTGACACCATGCCCAGCTTTGATTCTGTCTCTTTCTCTCATAGCCCTTAGCCTGTGGCTTTGTCCTCATCGTCACAAGATAGTTGCTCCAACTGCAGCAATTACTTATGTATTCCAGGATTTAGGATATATATCTGAGAAAGGCAAAAAGCACAGGTTGGCTGGGTCTCTCTCCTTGAAAAGCGTTCCTAGAAGCCCTCTTCAACTTCTCCGATGTATCAATGGCCATATGTAGTCACTTGGCCAACCCTCACTGCAGTGCAGAGTTAGAAATATGTTTTGTCTTCATTTGGCTGCCCCAAATGAAATAATATTCCCATTAATAAGAAAGAAACAAAACACGGGATATCAGGATCATAAAAGAAACTTGGATAGAAGAGTCTTGGAGTGAATTCTGTTGCACGGGTGTCCCTGAAATTGAAAATCCTGTTCTCTACTTTATCCATAAGTTTGTATTTTCAGATGTTAGCCTTTCTAAACAGAGGAGGTGGGGAAGCAGGGGTTAATCTTTATTGACATTGTCTTCTATAATTAATAACGATCGTATTGACTGGATTTTCCCCTTGTTCTCACCAGCCTGGAGGAGAACCACCTCTGCGATGAAGGTGTGTGTTCTCTCGCAGAAGGACTGAAGAGAAATTCAAGTTTGAAAGTGCTGAAGTAAGGAACCTGTAAGCAGATGACATTACTGACTTGACACCAAGGCAGCTTCCCGGCCATGGGCATTCGCATGTGGTGGATGGAAACAGCTCATGCTGGTCTGGGTGGATACAGATTCTGGCGCAGGCTGTGTAGCTGGGAGGTGGCCCCAGGAAGCTCTCAAGGGAGGTGGAGAAGGGATGTGTCCAGTTGAGGATGCTTTTTACCTCAGTTGTCACTGAAGGGAGCCCAGCATTACTTGAGTGTCATGGAGCCAGAGTAGAAGGTACCTGGTCACCCATCCAACCAGTGGGTGCGGGATTGGGGATATTTGTCCACCACGTACTTGTTGTATATTCATTCATTCATCTATGCACACATTTATCCACCTGTGTATTCGTGCAAGGAATGTTTCTGGTGTTCCTGCTCTGTGCCAGGCACCGCTTTGGGACACTGATGGTGGCAAGCTATTAAGGACAGGACCCCCTCCCCTCTCCTGCAGCTCTTAAATTCTGACCGGGGAGATAAAGCATAAACCAGAAAACACAGAAGTTCACTTCTAATTAAGGAGGAGATGTGACATGGAGTAGGTAGGGTTGCTGCTGGCTCAGTAAGGCCTCTCTGAGAGGTAGCATTTGGATTGGAACCTAATGGACAAGAAGAGGCCGCCTTGCTGAGGTATCAGGCCAGCGCATTCCAGGTTGGGGGATGGAACAGCAAGTGCAGAGGCCCTGGGCAGACACAGGTGTGGTGATTTGAGAACAGAATGTGCCCTGCCATTGGAATGGAACTAAGGTTCTAAGCCCCAGAAATGACTTGGATTCTGTTCTAAGGACAGTGGGAGGACTTCAGAGTTCTCATCAGGGTAATTGTGTGCTGACTTGTAGCACAGAGGATCATTTCTGTCCCTTTGTGTGGACAGAATGGAAACAGGATGGGGAAGGGGTCAGGAGAGCAGGCAGGAGCCCTGTCGTTGTCCAGCTGGAAGAAGAGGAAGCTTAGCTTAGACTCATGCAGCAGGCAAGGCCTGACTAAAGGGAGCTATGGCTCTGCAGGTACAAGAGCTGGAGAGCCAGACAGCAGCAGGCTGGGGATGGCACACTGAGGCCTTCTGTGGTGCTGGACTCTGGCCAGGGACCTGTGTCACGGGAGAGGACAGAGGATGTGTCAGGAGCCCACCTCATGGCCATCATGGTCTCTCCGAGGCTGATACCAGAGGTCTCACTTTGGGGGGCTTCAGGGCACCATGATGGCTCCTTTTGCTGGAGGAAGGTGACATCTGCCTGGGCAAATGTGGCCTGAGGAACACACTTGCCTCCAGAGCCGGGCAGACAGCTGCCTCTGAGCGGCTGTCAGCTCTGCTGCCAGACCGCCTTCCACTCTGAAGACATGTGTTTGTGCTGCTTTGTAGGGGGTAGGGAGTTGCCAATGTTTGGGGAAAACACTTCCGCATGGCACTTGGGTGCAAATGGGCTGGAGGCTTGGGCAAAGCCAGGATTTGTCTGGGCTGGATGTCAGCTTTGCATACAGGGGTGCCTTAGGCGCTACCTGGTCTACCAGCAGCCAAGTGTGGGTGTGGCAGGTTTGTCGCCTCTCATTGCTGTGGACTTGCCTCCTAACCCCAGCAGATGCCAGGCAGTGGTGGGCTAGGGCTTGTCCCACGCTACCTTGTTGCCAGCCTTATTATTCAGCATCTTGAACAATATCATCCCCCACTGTTTCCCTGTAAAAACCAAGCTGCTGCTATATTGTTAAAGAAAGAGAAATGCCCACCTCTTTCTTTTTCTATCTTTTTCTCTGTCAAGTGTTGGTTAGAGCCCAGGCCCTGCAACCAGGCAGCCTGGGTATAGACCCAGCCCCCCTGGTGCAGCTGTTTGTCCCTTGATGTGTGTCTCAGTTGCCTTGAGGGGTGACTGGCCCTTCTTCATGGGTTGGGATAGCCACTGACAGTGTAGGTATCAAGCTGACACAGCAAAGGACTGGAAAATGTTGACCGTTGTTTGGAGCATTGTCTTAGGGTCAGTGTGAAGGAAGCCTGCACTACGGAGGGTGGGAAGGCAGGAAGTGGACATGGCTAGAAGGCAAAGTAATAAGCACAAGGGTAGCACAGGAAGCCAGGGCTCTTACCCTGCCCTCCCTGACCATAGCCCATCTCCCCTCCCATTGCCAGCCACTTATGGCCTCTAACCCAAGGCATTATACATCCTGAGACCCCTCCTATGGAAATATTACTTTTGCTGATTATTTCCTACCAGTTAGAGACTATGCTGAGTGCTTTATCAAGGCCGTTCTTTGCTTAGTTCTTACATGCTACGAGCCAAGTGCTCTTTCAGGCTCATTTCACAGGTGACAATATTGAGATGAATTTAAGACCAAAAGGAAGCGCTATAGGTTGGATCTGAACCCTGGCACTAAAGCGGAGGTATTTAACCAAGGGCTACTTGATTGGATCAACTTGTCTGGTGAATGGATGCATTCACTGAGCCTCAGACAAGTGAGATCCATCTCGAGAGCAGAGGCAGGCTCCAGTAAGGCTGCTGTGACTGGACAGGCTTCAGGGGGGCCCAGCATCTCTAAACCTCTCGTTCCATCTCTTCTCCAGGCTCTCCAACAATAGCGTCACCTCACGGGGTGTAGAAGCCCTCCTACAGGCCCTTGAAAGCAACAACACCATCCTGGAAGTTTGGTAAAGTCCCTGGGAAAACCCATACCCTTCTCTGAGTCTGTTTCCTGTCAGTAAAATGAGTTCAGGGGAGAAAGGAACAACAGCATTTTTAAGCTCCTATCTGGCTCTGACATTTGGTATCATTCTGCTTGTGATAGATCCAGATCTCTGGCTGGAAAAGAAATCTATCTTCACATCTTTAAGCAGGGCCCAGTGCTTTCATTTTAAAACCAGAAGTATTTACTCTGAAACTTGTTGAACCCGGCTGCTATTCAGCTGGGCAGTACACCAGCCCTCATAGGCTGGGGATGTTGTATGTAGCCCTCTACAGCTTTGGACCCTGGAGGTGACTGCACCATGGTTTATTCATGTCTGTGTCACTGAAAGCCACAGCCCTTTATGCATTTTCAAAAAACAGCCTCAAAGATTAGCCAGGCTCAGTGCTACACACCTATAATCCCAGCAATCAGGAGGCTGAGGCAAGAGGATCATTCTGAGTTTGAGGCCAGCATGGGCTACATAGTGGGTTCAAAGCCAGCTTAAACTACATAGTGAGACCCTATCTCAAAGAAAAACAATAAAAATTGATCCTTCTTGTTTCCAAGAATCTATTTTTCACCCAGATAACAAATAGAAAGTTTGCCTGGTTTAACCCATCATGAGCAAATATCACTGCATATGTTTCAGACACTGATCCAGAGACCAGTATTTAAAAGCTAAGAGAATTCTCATAAAGATCTATATTCTAGGATTTTATCAAAAGAGCAGCGGCCCTGGAGCCCTGTATGCAATGCCAGTCTTTAGCCGGAGGAGGGAAAGAGGCCCCCCCCTAAGGACAGGCTTGCTCTGCTGGCTGTAAAACCATCAGGCCCATTGACTTAGAACTGGTACCCCGGCCGCTCTCCTGTATTTTACCTGCCTATCCCTGGTAGCTTGTGACCCCTGCTTTAAATATGCAGACTTTATCCTTCGCTCAAAGAAGCACATCAAAATAGCAGGAACTGTCGCTCTCAAATGGTGAAGGTAAAAGCAAGAATTTCTAAACTCTGCCCAGGGCTGAAGAGGTTTTACTTTCTGTGTGACTGTGTATCCTTGTAGCTTCCAAAATCATCATGTCCTGGGTGCCAGGGTGTTTTTTTTTTAAAACCATTGCACAGCCCTAAGAAATGTCACATTTTGTGTGCAGGGAATAAACTGGCAACAGGTCAGTATTTTAAAGGCTCTAACCCTTGTTGCCTGCCCACAGAGCTGGGGAGGGTGTTAGTACTTGATGGTTGCATTCTTGACAGATCAGGTTGTTGCCTGAAAAAGTGTGGCCTTGGGGAGTCTGTGGCCAGCTGGGGGCCTGGTGCTGCAGACTTTTTCTGCAGAGTCATGGAGCCTTGCTCATCACACAGAATGACTCATGAGCTGCCCTGGGTAACAGGGGATAAAATGGCACTGAATTCCCTCCCACAGGCCCAGAGAGTCAACCCTTCCCTGGCATGGGTTTGAAGGGTGCAGCTTCCCTTTGACAACCCTGCTCTAATTTTGTGCCTACTCAAACCCCTCTTCCTTTTATCCCTCCAGGCTCCGAGGCAACACTTTCTCCTCAGAGGAAATTGAGAAGCTCGGCCACAGGGACACCAGACTCTTGTTTTGATGCTTCCTGGTTGATGTTCCTCTCTGTTTGTGAGCAAGCCTGGATTTGGATGCTGGAAGCTGGATTATGTCTGGTAGAGCCCTGTCCTGTCCAGGGCTGAATTCATTTGCTGGGAGCACCGTGTCACCTTACCCCACCAGAAAAGTGCCTCAGTGTCCCAAGAATACTTTTCCTAATCTACTTCTGCCATCAAGTTCTTCTGGAAATTCCACCCATATGGGGCAGTTGCCACTGACCCTCCAAGGTCCTAGGGATGGACAAGAGAGTGTCTGTTGGCATAGAGATCTGGATCTATGTGAAAGATAACCCCTCCCCTTTACAACAAGGAGGAGAATTCAGGAAGCAGCTGTCAGCCCCTTCTCAATTTCTAGGTCACCCATGATGGCCATTCTTGCTCTGGTCCTCAGCTCATTCTGCTTGAGATCCGCTAGGACCCCAGGAAAGGGCTATGCCTCACCCTGCTCTCCTTCCTCATAAGACATTCTTGGAAGGAGACAAAGGACACCTTTTTGTTCCCTAAGACACTAGATTTGCAAGAAAAATATGACCACACTCCAGCTGGGATCATACATGGATCTTTATTTCCACTGAAATCAATTATTCTTTGCCAAGCCTTTGGAAACTGCTTCAGTCTAAATGTAGCTTTTTGAAATTAATCTGGGCCAGAATTTCAAATGGGCCCACTAGGCTTCTGGTTGATGTGTGTGAACTGAACTCTGACAACAGAGTTCTGGAATGCATCCATGAGAGACAGTTCCCTTTCATTCATGCAGAATGCTTTAGGATATATAGTCAGGGGTTAGAAGTTTACAAGGCCCCAACCAAATCTTTTCTTCTAAGCAAATGTCAAAGCCTTTATATTGTCAGGTGTTGCACATATATTACTTTATATATTATTATATGTGAAAACTGGTTACTATTTGTAAACTACTTTGTTTTATTCTCCCAGGTTGTTATTTTTATAGAAAATGTGACCATGAGCTTTCTGCTATAAATAATCATAGAGGAGAAAATTACTGAATTGCCAAAGCTGTTTTCATTGTGACCAAACATTTTTAAGTATTCCTAAAACTTGTCAAATTTTAAAGCACAGTGTTCTACCTGAAGGGCAGAAAATGATGTTTTCAACAAAGCAATTTATTGCTTAAGGCAAAAGCAATTCTTAGAAATAGGCTGGTAATCAAAACATATTTGGCTTCAGCTTGGAAGAGTCTAACCCAGTGTGAATTTTTAAACGGTGCAAGAACCTTGTGGTGCCCAGACTGAAAAGTTACAGCAAATGTTAAAAGGCCCCTGGATCTCCCTCAATTTTCTCCAAGCAGCTCCAGGAGTCTTTAACAGGAGAAGATAGAGAAGATTTGTGTGATTCTCCTCTACCACCAGCAGCTCTCCACACAGGCTTTGCTGAAATAATTCTTAGCTGCATTTAAGGAGCCCATGGCTCAAGTGGCCACTGGCCATGGTGAAGCCTGCTCCATGAAAGGTTTGGGTCACTGAATATGTGGCGTCCCATATGGAAGATGTCCATTAGCTCTCTAACTGGTGTCCCGTTCTACCCAGACCCTTATTCCTGGTTGGCAAGCAGGGGCAGGTGGAGATGGGTCTGCGTCCTCTGAAGGGTACACAGCAGCCCACTTGTGTGGCACCATGTTGGGTTGTAAATGCACTTTCCTTAGGTTCACACAGCAATGATTTATTAACCAGTGATGTTAGGACAGCCAGTGAATGAGCAAGTAGATGTGGTCTCTGTCCTCACAGTTCTTAGTTGAGGGTAGAGGAAAAGTCAGGCAGAAGGTAAGTACACTAGAAACTATATAAAAAGGCCCATTGAAAGAAATACTAGGAAGGAAATTGTTGTAGTTTGATCTTGAATGTCCCTAAAAGGCCCATGGGTTGAAAGTCTGACATCAGCCTGTGGTGCTATCAGAAAGTGATAGAACCTTTAGAAGGAGGGGACTATTGGGAGAAAGGAAATTAGGTCATTGGAGGTGTACCATGTGGCAGAGGTAAGCAGCCTCCTCTGCCACATGCTTCCACCATGATGTAGAGTCACCACAGGGCCAAAGCAATAGGCCCAAATGAACACAGACTGAAACCTCTGAAAGTGAACCAGAATAAATCTCCTTTTTGAGTTGTTTGTCTCAGGTATTTTGTAACAGAAATAGAAAGCTGACTTAAGCCTGGCATGGTGGTGCATTGTAATCGGGGAGGCTGAGGTAGGAGGATCATTGCAAGTTTGAGACCAGCCGGGCTAGTTTCAAAAAGCCCAAACAAACAAACAAACCCACCCCAGAAAACACATGGCTTAATAGAAATAAACAAATGTGCAAGATTGAGGCACTGTCTCCAGACTGAGAAGTTGATCTGAGATAGGTTCTCTCAGGAGGTGACAGGGAGCCTGTATCCTCAAGGATAGGAAGGGTTTGAACATTTCCTGAGTGATATGGGAGAGCATTAAAGTCACAGAGTCAGCTGTTTACAGCTCTGTCATGGGAAAGAGCTTGGTATGCATAGCAGGTTGAACTATGGCCCTCCAAGCTATCCAGGTCTTATCTCAGGGGCCTGTGAAGTCTACCTTACCTGGCAGAACTTTGCAGATATCTTAATTCAAGGATGTTGAAATGGAAGATGATCCTGGATTATTGTATAGGCCCTCAATACAGTCACAAGGGTCTTTATAATTGAGAGACTTTTGACACAGGAGAGGAAGCACTGTGATCACTGAAGCAGGAGGCCATGCTGCTGGCTTTGGAGTGGGGGGAGGGGCCAGGAGTAGGAGCTCAGCTCTCAAGCTGGAAAAGGCAGGGAAACAGTGTCTCCCCTAGAGCTTTTGAGGGAGCATTGTCCTGCTGGCTTTAGGTGCAATCCACTTTGGACAATTATTTGTAGCAGTTTTTTATAGCAACCATAGGAAACTAATGTTTTGTGTGTGCAGCCAGCTAAGTGGAGTGGTTAATGGGTGATTAGCAGACGTAGGCAGGACTAGTTCTTCAGGTCTCAGAAGGCCATGTCAAGAAAGTAGTTTTGATCTTGGAAGACCGGCAAGCCGCTGGTTTTCAGCAGGAGTATGTGGCCCCGTTTACATTTCCTGAAGATCTACTTGCTTCTGGGTAGAGCTGGGACTAGAGTGCAGGTGGGGATGGGGAAGAGCAAGTGGGTAGGCTGCCCAGGTGCTGTGGCAGGTGAGGACAGTGGGCCAGACTCAGGTTCTGGTTGGAGGTGGAGGGAGGAGGACAGATTCCAGAGACATACTAGAGGTGGATTCCCAAGGACTTGCAGATGGGTTGGATGAGAGGAAAGGTAAGAATCAAGGATGACTTCTGGATTTCTGGCTTGAATATCTGGAGTCTGGGGCCAAAGGGTAGGAAACAAGTTTGGAAGGGAGAAGGTCTTTTTTGGATTGTTAAGTTTTAGATGTCTAAGTGGAGATGTCAAGTTATGGTGGTGTTACTGTTGGTGATGGGGGTGCGGGTGGGTTCCTAGGTTCTTGTGTGTGATGAGTAAAGAATTTGACATGGCATGCAATGGTAAGGAAAAAGCTGTGAAGTGTTAACAAGGGCACAGTGCACTCAGAGTGAGCAGGTCTTGCTAGCAGAAAGGCAAAATGGAATGAGAACTTGAGGGCACTGGTTTAAGAATTTAAAATGTTGGGCTGGTTCCAGGGCTCTTCCTATTGAGTCTTCCAGAGCACGACTGACAATGTGATTAACAATGTGATTGACAGGGTGCTGAGTCATATTAACTGTATCTATCACACATGTTCTTTCCCATAATTCACTCTGCTATAATTGGATATATGAGAGTTAGAGTCCATATGCATGACTTTCAATGAGCTCCAAGTGAAGAGAGGTATGTAGATATTGTATGCATGGGTTTTTGTTTTAGGGTTTTAGAATATTCTAGGGCAATCTTAGAGGTCTTTGTTTTCCTTATATCTGCCTCTGGGTAGTAAGCTTAAGGACAAAGTTTGAGGTGAGAGTTGGCCCTGGGACACTGCCCAGTTTAGTGGAGAGGAATGGCCCTGTAGTTCCAATTGTACTATTTGTATTAGTGTGAGCCTGGACCTCACATAGATCACTGCTAGAGATAATTCCATAGGCATTCTCAGCATCAAAATGGACATGGGGGCCTTGGGACTGGATGATGTAACTCAGGGAGGATTATGGAGAAAGAAGAGGTGACAGGGACTCCGACGTCTTGGTATGTAATTACAGCACAATTCAGAGTGGGAGTTTCATGACTTTCTGAAGTCCAGCAGGCACCAGCAATCTGAGCCTATAGGAACCAGGGAACCAGGCATCTTAATCTTTTTTGAGTTTTTTTGAGAGGGAAGTCCTGAAAGGTATGTGCTCCTGGGCAGTGGCTTATTCAGGAGCAGGTTGCAGATTTGTGGTAAAGAGTACAAAATTTTTATATGCAGAATAGCAAAGTGTTAGAGCAGAAGAATTTTGAAAATGACCTTAGACTTTAATTATATTCACCACTATCCCAGAAGAAAAAATCCCGAGCATCAATCCAAATGTTTTCCACCTCTCCCATCTTCTCTATAGTCCTGAAACAAGACACTGAAATGAATATACCCTATAGAAATGTGAGCAGTGGAGTCATCTCTCAAGAGACCAGAGCCTCATTCCACTATTGTACCAATACATTTCCAAGCCCTGCTCTCCCCTCAAGTGGCTGGCCCAGCCCAGGGAATGAAGCATACAGCAATCCTTGATACATCCTGGGAACCCCTGTGCATGAGGGAATCCATAGCCTCAGATCCTTGGGAGCAGAGACAGATGAGCAGCAAGGTTCTGTAGCACTTTGAGATCCCGCTGAGCCACTTCTCCCTGAAGAGTAACAGTTGGAGACAGTGACTATGCAGATGTGAAACCCCAGCTCCTCAGCTTGTGCTTTTCCAAGATAGCTCACGCCTTTTTTTCCTTAAAGTTAGTGCCAACCTAGAACCCCTTCATGAACAGTCTACACCAGTCTAATCCTCATCACTCACCCTTCTCACCTGCTCTGCTCCCACCTTTGGGAAATAGTGTGTTCCTTGCCTGGAGTATAGCAATGTCTCTTGATTGATCTCCCTGCCCCTAGACCTTTGGAATGAGCCTATTGAAACACAAGTCGAATAAGCCACTGCTTTGATAACCTTCTAGGGCTTCCTGTTTGGTTCAAAGTAAATGCGTAGGTCTTGTGCTGCCTTGGACTACCTTGTATCATCTCTGCTCTCACTTTTGCAAACACTTGAATTCTCCATGCTTTTGTCACACCAGCTGCATTATACTCCTTGAAAGTCCCAAGCACTTTGCTGCTCCTGGACCTTTTTATTAGCTTTCTATCTTTTATTGTCCTTCATCTAGCTAGTGGCATAGCTTGCTTCTTCCTTTTCTTTAGGTCTTTGATTAAATGTCAAATGGTGCTTGAATCCTTCCTGAACAATTTATCCATCCCCAGCCACTATTTTCTCCCCTTATCTGCTTAATAGTGTCTTCTTGGTGTGCATGACCTGATCTATGTTTCTTTCTTCTTTTTGCTTTAGTTTGGATCTGGAGTGCCTCTTAAGCCCCAAGTATTTAATCTTGGTTGCCAGCCAGGGGTGCTATTAGGAGATGGGTGGAAACATTAGATGGTGGAAAGAAGTTAGGTCATTAGGGATATGGCTCCAAGGTTATATAGGGCCCGCCCCTTCTTCCTGGGTGTCATGAGAGAAACACCTTCCTCTGCCATGTGCTCGCACCATGACATACTGTGCCACCATGATATATTCTTAGCTCACTGAGGCCAGAGCAACAAGCCCAAGTGACATGGACTACAACTTCTGAAACCACAAGCCAAAAGAAACCCCTCCTTCTGATAAATTGATTTTCTCAGGTATTTTGTGTGACAGAAAGCTTACTCATTTGCCCTAGGAAACTGGCTCAGTCACTGCAGAGCTGTCAGGGTAAAAGCTTGGCACATAATAGGTGCTCAGTAAATACTTGTTAACTACTGAGTAAATACTTGTTAACACTTTTCCTAAATGGAGCAGAAAACTGAAGCTGAGACAGATCATAAGAATGACTTCCTTTAACACTTAGTGTCTTTCTTAAAGGAACAAAGTTTTGCTGGATATAGGACTGTGCCTAGTGCATCAGCTGCCCAAAATAAACTTCCAAATGTAGCATAAAGGTCTCTATGAGTATTAAGGCCTTTTTCTCTGTGTGTTTTAAAAGTCTCTCACACACACAAATAGTAGCTGAAAACAGCATATAGTTCAAACAGCGGAGCATGGGTATATAGTTCCACAGGATTAGTTTAAAGATGATTAAAGTAATCCTTTTTTTAATCTCATCAAAAAGAGCTTTCAGATGACCAGAGTAAAAGTTGAGATAGAATGTTAGATAGAAATAGATACCTGACATAGAATGTTCAGTTGCACTGAGGGTTTCCCTCCCTGAGAGATCAGCACATCTCTCAGCTGGGGGACTATTGATTCCTCATCTATTGACCGGGACATCTTGAGGGATTAGTAAGGAGAAAGCATTGGTACCCTATCCTTGCCTGCAGGGATGCCTGGCCCAGGTAGTCCCTTGGCATAGAGCTGTTCTTAGTGCCCCACTTTATAGGAATAATAGGAAACCAAGGGAGGCTGGGTAAAAACTAGGGAGTTGCCATTCACTGGGGAGGGAGGCAGAAGGATCACAATGGGCAAGGGGGACATCAGGCCTCACTTTGAGCTGTCTCCAGTAGAAATGTCATACAGGCAGTAAAGTGTGAAATAAACAGGATTTTGTGAGGCTGGACGGAGAAAGTAGCCTAAGGTAGCTAGTAGGAAGGAAGATGGGGTGGGACCTAATCCAGAACCAAGACCACTGATACTGAGGTTTCCTGGAGTTTTGACTCTGTTACAGTCACGAGGCTCCTAGGAATTTGGCTCCATTCCATTCCATTCCATCTCTTTCTGTTCCTTTTATGGTTGGGATCCTGTGCAATAAAGAGGCAAGACAGTGCGAGTCACATTCACTATTTTGCTAAAAATCCTTCAAAAAGTTCCACTACTCTTCGGGTGAAGGCCAAGCATGCCCTGGCTCCCATTATCCTCTGGCATCACATTATTGGTGGCCTTCCTTTCTCAGATCCTTCAACATGTCCCACATTTTCCTGTTCCCATTGTCTGAAGTGCTCTCCCTCATCCCCAACTGCCAACGTCCTTCCTGTCTCTTCTTAAAGATGGCTTCCTCACCAAACCTTCTCTGGACACCCACTCCCCCTCCCACTTAGGCAAGCTCAGAGTTGTTCTTTTGAGCTCACCTTGCCTGTAATTAGGCAAGCAATTATGTAATTAGTTGTTTAAAATCGACCTGTTGCTAGAGGCATGGGTGTCATCTCCTTTGTCCACTGCTTGATTTCTTGGTACCTGCTCAGTAACTCAACCACCAGTTGCCAGACTGAGCCCACGGCTAAGCTGGGTATGACAGGCTGAGAGAATGTGGAGAGGACATCAACGGGGGTTGGAGGCATCTGGAAAAACGTGGAAAAGGCAGGGCTTTGGCTGGGCTCTACATGAAGGGAAGATTTGGAAGGCAGAGAGAATGAGTGCTTCAGGTGGAGAATTCATTTAAAGAGGTGAGAATTTATTTAAAGAGCCCTAGTTTGGAATCAGGAGAATCCAGGTCTCAGCCCTTCCCCTGGACCTTTAATCTCCCTTCTGTACTTTGAGAGGCTGGGTGACGAAGCACTGGGAATAATAAATAGTACTTTGACACTACCCTCCTGCCTCACACCTGGCTGGCCTCTCTTGGCTTGTGAATCTTGATATACAGCTTCAAAACTGTCACCAACATGGTTCTAGGCGGCCATTAATAATTCATACAAGATGGTAATTGAGACAGGCCTGTTTGTCTGACTTGGCTTCGATACCTATCTTTTGGAGAAAGGCACTGATTCATTGAACATGTGATGGGGTAGAGGGGATGAGCAGGGTGTCTGCAAACACAGCAGAGACAGAAGCACCTGAGGCCATCATCAGAGAAGACCAGAAAGGTGCTGTAGTTAGGGTAGGAAACTCAAATAACTTCAGGGACCAAGAGGAAAAAGTGGCTCAAGGGCATAAAATAGGAAATGGTGAGGTGCGTGGCAAATGGAGAAATGAGGGTGCTTACTTTGTTTAAAGTATTCAAAAACCTTTCCTTCTCCTCTACTTCTTCTTCCTCATTCTTAATATATATGCTGAGCAAAAGCAGTCTTTAGGCTGATGTTTTCTCCCAGACAGACAGAGTGATCTCAGAGTCTTAGCTCATTAGTGAATCTATTTCCAGAGGGGAATGGCTTTCCCTAAGGGACACTACAAATCAGGTCTGGTGATTCTCATCATATTGTTTCCTTCTGGAGGATGTTCAGGAAGCCTGAGAAACAGGTTCAGGATGGTTTAAGGAAAGACAAGAGCCAACTGAAGCTAAAGTTTTCAAAAGATGTCCATTTAATTTTGTGATTATGGCAAGGGACAAGGGTGGCCTGTTTAGGGCTACTCTCAGTAATCACTCATGTAACTACTTTTATGTACTCATTGGTTTAAATTCCCTGGATCTCCAGAAGCATGACACTTTCTGTTGGCGAAATTTCTGTCATTAAACACACACACACCCCTCCTCCTTCCTCAGTATTAATCACCGTCCCCCATAATTAGTACTTAAAATGTCAAAGGAAAACGAATTAATTAACAAGAGTATCCAGTGCAGGAAGGCATGCTTCAAAGCTCTGGGGCTGATTATAAAAAGCATTTCTTAAATATTTTGAGAGCCTTAGGGAATCAGAATTCTCCTATTCTAATTGAAAGCTCCTGAACTACACTTCATGTCCTGGCTGGTGGCCAGAGATGCAGGGCTGAGTGAGGTAGCGTGCAGAAACACGTTCTTCACCATTCTTAGAAAACCTCCTTTTCAGACTGGGGTAGGTGGTAACAGAGGTTCAAAAACAGCAGAGTTCCCAGGCCACTTCTGAGGGGAAGAGTTTAAATCTCTACTGAGTCGTAGGAACTTGAATGCAGCATTGCACAACCATCCTGTAAGATAGGTGGTACTATTACAAGATCTCCACTTTACAGATGCGAAAATTGAGGCGCAGCGTCCCCTATAATTTCTCCATCGCAAGCGGCAACTAATTGAGAGAGCAAAGGTTCTATTTTAGTTGTGATTCTTAAGCTTTACTCTTTCTTGAAATTCTGGAAAACTATTCCCAGCTCTCTTCTGGATTTCTTCCCACCCCAATTTTGACAGCTAAAGCAGGAGCCAGGGGTGCGCATGGGAGGCGGAGCTAGGAGAGTGCAGCGCCCCGCCCCAGCTCCCATGTCAGCCAATGGTGACGCTTCTGCTTAGGCTTTGGTCCAATCATCCAGGGTTCCCTGCTCCCGTTTGGTTCTTCCCGGACCTCTGCTTTTTCTCTTAGGCTCCACCGAGCTTGACGGAGTGGAAAGTCCCTTCTGCCGGCGCCGCGCCGGCAGCTATTGGAGGAAGGTCACAGAGAGACCCAATCAGAGTGCGCGCAGGAACGCAGCTCGAGCTGCGATTGGTTATCGTGGCAGTTGCCGCCTCCGACTCCGTTCCTCCCTCTCCTTAGCGGCTTGGAGGCGGGGCAGGTGGGGGCGGGCCCAGGTAGCAGGTTAGGCTGCGCGGCGCCCCGCGCGTCGGAGGTAAATACTAGGGCGGTGGGTATGGGGTGCCGGGCTGGCCGGGGACACAGGAGGGAAGGCAGTGTCTGTGGGGGGCAGCGACGCCCCACTGTCTGTGGTGGGTGAGTGAGCCGGGGCTGAGCGGCGGGCGGCTAGACCCTTTGGGCACCTCTCAGGGCCCCAGGGCGCCTCGAGCCGTCGGAGTGACCGGCGGGCCTGGGCGCCGGCCCGTTAGTTGCCCCGAACCACCCGAGCCAGCCGGGGTCGCGGGGTCCTGCGCCCGTGACGTCAGCTCGGCTTCCCCACCCCCGAGCTTTCCCGCGAGGGCTTCAGAGTCTGTGGGAGCGTGGTCGCAGCTCCCGGGACCCCGGGAGGAGAGAGGGCTTGGTGGGAGCAACGCAGGACTCAGTGTCCATCCTTGCCGCCAGCCATTTACCGGTGGGGAAACTGAGGCACGGACTGCTGGCTGACTCCTGACGGCCCTCGTTGGCACCGAGAGCCCCAGGTTGTAGTGTTTCGTGTTTGTTCTGTGCGGCTTGTGGATCGGTTAGAGTTTTGGGGGGATGTTTGTGACACTCATCCAGGAAGAGCAAGTCAGGGTTCTAGGTGCCTTAATGGCCTGTTCTGCTTTTTCTTTCAGTTTCCCCCTTCCCAGGGTGAGGCAGGTTTGTGCACAACTCAGAGTTCTTCAGTGTCCTGCTCAGACAAGGTTTCTTCTTTCTTTTCTGTTTTTCGTTTTTATTATGAATTAGCGATTCGAGGGGAAGTCGAAATCTTGGAGGGAGATGGTGTTCTTGAATTTGATGCTCAGTCCGGCCAGCTACAGGGTTATTCGTGTACTTGGCAGCTTTTCTATTCTACTGCTTGGCATTTACATGTTTTAGGATGATTGTCTTCATCCAGTCACCAAACCTGTGGCCTTGCAATCTCCAAATCCTCATCATCCCTTCCCCTCCCCAGTTTTCCCTGGAAAGTTGTATCCTTCACTAAGCTAAGGAGCGTTCATACCTTGCTTTTGAATTGGTGCTAATTAGGAATTGGAATAAGATTGCTCATTTTGCCATCATAGGCTTACAGAGAAAAACCCAGGCCTCAAGAGGGTGTTGATTCAAATGTTGGTTTTCAGTACACCCCCTCATGCCCCAAGTAGGTTGAATGGCCCTAAGAATTTAGCCTGCCATTTCCCACTGGGTAGTGGGTGGATTTGAAGTAGAACAGTATTAAGAGAAAATGATTTGCTGGAAATTCTTACTGAAGTTCATGTTCTCTGAATGTTGATAATACCCAGAACATTCTCAGCTGTTCTGCTGCAAAATTTTAATGTATTCTTGTGAAGAAAGCTTGTTTTGGGTGGTAACTTTTTTGAGGTGCTTGTAAGGCCAGGCCACCTGTTATATAAAACAACGACATTGAGCAGCAATGATTTCTGTGGTCTAGCATGCCAAAGCTGTGGTTCTGTTTGATTTAAGGAAGTCTTTAATAAAGAACAGAATAGAAGAGTAATAACTCTATTCATCAAGTTATTTTAGTTTGTTCCTGATTTTCACACAGCAATCTTAAATTTGTCAGGGGTTTTTACATTGTTCATGCAGAATTTATTAGAGTCATGCATGGGGTGAGTTCTAGGAAGCTAGTTTCAAATGAATCTCAAAACAACTTGATTTCATAATTGTGAAATTTTCTTTAACAGTGATGTAGTGTGAACATTGACCATTTATCCAGTGACTAGTGATATTTTAGGCAAAAATCATTAAATACTTCAGCTACTGAATCTTTCTTTTTTAATCTGGAGGAAGCTTTTGGCAGTTAGAATGGTGAAATGACATTCTGATTTTCATTAACGTTGAGTTAACTAAGTTGCTGGTCTGGGCCTTGGAAGTACAAAGGAGTGGGAATTGGGGAATTCACAGTTTGAGAGTGAATTGGCTAGGTTTAACTCTAGTGAGGGAGCAGTGTTCCTTATTTTTCTGACATGAGCATGCAGCTTCAAGAGGACTTTTTAAAAATAAAACCTTATAAATCTCACTTGTTTTTGGGAACGTGTACTTGTGGTGAGGAATATTAAATCTGAGCCAGTCTGTTTTCTGGTTCTGGAATCTTTATATTTCTGTTGAATCTTATAAGAATATAACAACTTGTTCTTTTACTGAGAGATGTTCTTTCTTAAAATGGTAAGCATTGTAGCTATCTAGAAGCATTTTGAAAAAGGCTTACTTGTCTTCTTTCTTGGGTATTCCTGTTAACCTTTCTACCTCTTTACGATTTATAATGTGGAGCATTACTTTAGTAGTAATTTTTGTTTGGATTTAGGTAGCTTCCTGTGGTTTTTAGAACAAGCAGGATATCACAGGCGATGCCAAGAATTCTTGAATTACATCTGTCTGTGAGGTTTGTATGAATGGTATCCCCTGATAACTTGAGACCAAAATGATATTGTATCTTCTAGACAAGTTACCTATTGTCCATTTTATGTATCTAATGATCATTTGTACTAAGTGTAACTTTGTAATTCTAGTCTTTAATGTTTGTTATGTAAGGCTTATTTTTTGATCATCTTTCCATTTCATTCATAGGAAATTGATCAGTTTGTGCTCTTCAACTAATCTTGTTTTCATCGTTTTATTGTAATACAGTTAAATCCTCTTTTAATCTGAATCCAGACCATCAATAAGCTCAGATAACAGATATGATTTCGGATCTATGTGACACTAATTGTTCCTGCATCTTCAGTGTCCTCAAAAGAAAGCTCTTCTATTCAGCATGCTTTTTAAGCTTAAATATTTCAACTCTCTGGGATCTTCATTCAGTACTTAACAGTAATTATGAAGATATTGATGATCACTCACTTATCCAGCCTGAAATAAGATAGTACTTAGATGAGTCATTTGTGATATACTCACCCTCAGAGTGACTCCACCTGCAAAGTAATAAGAGACTACAAAGTAATAAGAGAATACAAGTGAGGTTTTCTCCTGTCGCACTGATCCCCTCCCCAACACACTATCCTGATTTTGAATTTGACTGTGCTTCTTGTTTCTTGGGCTGTCCAACTGTTCTTGTGATCTTTGCTTAAAGGGAGAGGCTGGATGAAATGGGATGATTTGTTGAAAGCAGTAATCTGATCTTAAAGCTTCTGTGTTTTTCAGTGTCTACACTGTACTGACTGCATCAAAATACTAAATCTATAAGCCAGCCTTCCTGATAGATCAGAACTTATTTACAGTGGGATTTACATCTTTTTGCTTTATATTCAGCCAGTTTCACTGCTTGGTCTTCTTTATTTTAACTGTTGTGGGTTGTCCTCTGAAAGAATATTGTTACCAGGTGTGATGGTACAGGCTTGTAATCCCAGCATTTGGGAGGCTGAGGCATGAGGGTTGCCATGAGTTCAAAGCCAGCCTGGGCTACATAGTTAGCTCATAGCCAGCCTGCACTACAAAGTGAGATCACCACCCCTCTAACACACAAACTCAATAATGTTGACATTGTATTATATTCAGTGGGAAGAATATATGTTAGCATATTTCTGTTGTAATACTGATATTTGAGAATATTAATCATTAAATTTATCTTCATATGTACCTCTAGACCAGGGCCATAAAGTTCCCCATTCAACTTTCTCCATGAGTTGCAAAAAAAGATAATTAATTTTTAATATGATAGTTTCAAACCTGTTCTTAATGTGTTCTCTCTAAAAAAGGAATGGCCACATGCTTTTTATTTTTGGACAATGCTTTTTAAATATTTTATAACTTTTGCTTTGGCTGTTCTAGTTGTCTAATGTGACCCATCCTATTGATTCTAAGCTCATTCTTGCTTGTTCTAGTGGAAGGTAGCCAAAAGTAGACCTTGTGTAGTTCATGGTTGAAAAATAGTACTTGAAAACTACTAATTATTGCCATCCACCTTTTTATAAGCCAGCTGATTATATCAGTTTTCACTGTGGCTTGCTGCCTTTAAGTAAGCTGCAAAAAGCAATTTTGCAATCAAATTCATTTAAAATATGGTGTCCCAAAGCATTACATATAACAATTTAGTTTTATCTTGATGATATTTTATTGCACTTATGGTTTATACTTTTAAATTGTGATATGAATTGTTATGCTAGAGAACCAGCAGAGTAGCATTTATTGGCATATAAATAATTACTAAGATTCAGAGAAGTTTCTGGTTTTAATTTGAAGGTAATCATGTTTAGAAATTTACAAAAAGAATTTCTTTTGAAAATAAAATTGCTTTATCCCTTAGAAAAAGTTTTGACCGAAAAAATATTGTACATTTTAAAAAGAACCAAAACTGTTGTTGGTCATTGTTTTGGATGTTGCTTTTTGACTACTTACACCTTCTGGAAGCAAACAAAATAATACCTCTGCATCATGTCCTTTGTACTTTAACCCTAAAGACTCTTCCAGAATTTATATATTCCTCTATGGCTATTATTGCCTTGTTTTTTTGTAAAGAAACATATCTTATCCAGCTTCTCAGACCCGTCCAAAGCAATAAGTAGGAAAGCAACCAGGCTCTAAACAGAGTCGAATGCATGCCACAGGAAACCACAGAAAACGGCTGCTTACAAAAGAGAACTGTAGATGTATAGAAAGCAGGCGCAGCAGCACAGAAAGCATTACCTAAAGCCCTTTAACAGAGTAACCAAGAGCCTTCCATATTTAGAGTCACATGTAATAATTTATATTCCTAGTGATGATTCAGTGACCAAGAAAAAATAATATCCTTGTTGAAAATTGTTGGCATTTTAAAAGCATCTTAGTAGGCATAGAGCCAAATTAAGGGCTTCACTGGTTGCTTAAGCAACTTTTTAAGGGGTTTTGTTATTGGTGCCAAGAGTAAGGTGCCACAGGTGTCTTATATAAGCGGCAGATATAAATCGATTCCACGCTGGCTGAAGTAGACAGTGCCCTCAAGTGGAATTAAAGCAAGCACATTATAAATATAAAAAAGAAGACAAAAGAGACTGACTTCATTTACCTGCCTTTGCTTGTGTCCTCATAAGTTGTGACACAAGTACTTCAGCATTGTTGGTCTGAAGGGCGCCAGACTCTTACCCTGCCTTAGGTAACCTCAGTGCCTCATTATGGATTGCACAGGTCAGACCTGTGAAACCTTTACCATAGTGGAACACTTCATTACCAAGTGATGCTTTCTAAAAGAAATGTTACCCTGTGTATAGATTTGCCAGATTTTTCGATCACTAAGTTATATGACTAAACTTACAGTTTGGCTCTTTAGTTTTTGAGGTGTTTATTCTTTAAGAATGACTTGAATAAATATGATAGCGATATCAGTTGTTGCTTTTAGCTAGGTTAATGGAAATGGATACCTCCATCTCAAAGATGAAGTAAGTACTGTATTTAGAAACTTAATAGCCACATTCTTGTAACAGAGAATACGTGTGAGCTATTATTTTCAGCAAACTAATTTGTTAAAATAATGAAGTCATCAATTTGAATTAATGAAATTGTCCAACCATCTATTAAAACAGGCTTGAGAAAGTCTACCTCGTGAAAAATTACTATTTTTGTAAAAATTTCAAATGAAAATCTGAAGTTGAAAAATCTTTTATGTATTCCTTCATTGGATATAATTAAAATAGTGCTATAAAAGCACTTTATACTTGATATAAACACCTACAATTCTGTATAACTTTACTGAAATTGTATCTTTGTTACATGGTCTGAGTTTTGATGCTGCACAAATCTTTATTAGTATCTGATATTTATGATTGAGAAAAATTAAATTATAACTATGATGAATACGATTAGTATTTGCCTGTCTAAAAACAAAGTGCATAAGACCAAGGAAATGAAATTAAGTTAGAAATAAAATATTCCATTACAAAAATAGATAATTAGTTGTGGTTACAGTTTAAAATTGTGACATAACTTTTTATTGATAAAAGATGTCCAACTTTTAATGTAAATTTTAATTTAAACCATGTTCAGAAATAATCTTTTTATTTATAAGATTTACGTGTGTTTTGTTGAAATGCAGCAGCTTACCTGTTTAACTTTGGCAGGATCCATTAAAATTGCTACTTTTGCTGGACGTAGTGGGGCATGCCTATAATCCCAGCACTCAGGAGGCTGAGGCATGAGAATTACCATGATTTCAAGGCTAGCTGGGTTACATGCCGAGTTCAAGGCCAACATAGACTATACAGTGAGACCCTGTCTCCAAAGAAATATGCTACTTTTTAAATATAAAATTTCAGAATATGTATATGAGGCAACCTTTTAATTTTTGCTAGAACCTGGTTTTATAAATTTTGAAACCTTGGAAACAATAATTCTTATATTGTCTTTGAAGATACTTTGCAATTGGATCTCCTTAATTAAATATTACAATTGAAATAGATACAAGTTATATATGTCTTTTTATCCCTTTTAGGTATTTTTGGAAATAGTTCATGTGTGTGTATTGGTCAACTGAAAAATTTAAAAGCCTTTAAACTTTATTTTAGGTTATGTAGAATGAAGTCTAAAGTTTATTTTTGCTTGTTTACCAGGCATTTTGATTTGCTGTCTTTACAGCATGGACACCAAATTGCTAAAAACATACTTTGGGACTGTCAGTGAATTTATCTTTTGCAATATTACGACAAACTTACTAGTGGTCCCTTTTCTGAGCTAATGTTCTAAAGTTACTATCATGATGAGTTCAGGCTTATGGAGCCAAGAAAAAGTTACTTCACCCTATTGGGAAGAGCGGATTTTTTATTTGCTTCTTCAAGAATGCAGTGTTACAGACAAACAGACACAAAAGCTCCTTAAAGTACCAAAAGGGAGTATAGGACAGTATATTCAAGACCGCTCTGTGGGGCATTCGAGGATTCCTTCTGCCAAAGGCAAGAAAAATCAGATTGGATTAAAAATCCTAGAGCAATCTCATGCAGTTCTGTTTGTTGACGAAAAAGATGTTGTAGAAATAAATGAAAAATTCACAGAATTACTGTTGGCAATAACCAACTGTGAGGAGAGGCTCAGCTTGTTTAAAAACAGAAGCAGACTAACTAAAGGCCTCCAGGTAGATGTGGGCTGCCCTGTGAAAGTGCAGCTGCGATCGGGGGAAGAGAAATTTCCAGGAGTTGTGCGCTTCAGAGGACCCTTATTAGCAGAGAGGACGGTGTCGGGGATATTCTTTGGAGTAGAGTTGCTGGTAAGTTTGAGAACTGTTTAGTGGACCATGTGCATGTATGTGTATTTGTGTCTGTGTATTTGTATGTACCTTCATATTTTTCCTCTTTAAACACTAAATAAAATTTCCCAAAGTCTTCAGTAATTTTTAATATTCATGGTCTTTAGGATTTACTATTTATTTGCGTATATAGGGCTGGGGTGCCAACCCAGGGGCTTGTGCATTCTACGCATTCCACTTCTGAGCTGTACCTCCAGTCCCAGAATTTACTTTTTAATGTTGAGATGATGTAAGTGTTATGCTTGGAAATTGTTAAAAACTGCCTATTATTGTGAGAACATAAAAATAGATCATGTAGTTATTCCAAACTTTCTTATCTAAGAGATATTAACATTGCTTTTATTAAAAAGTGAGCAATACTTCAGAAATTGTGATCTTGTGACATTATCTGAGTAGGTTTCTCACTTCTTTAATATGTGCTATTAAGTGACGACAATTTAGAAATAAGATTTTTAAAAAGTAAGTGGCAGCAATTTGAACTTGCTTATAGTTGTCTCTGATAATACATGTGAAATCAACTTGAAAGTTGTTCTACTGAAAAGAAACCCAAGAACTCTGTGAATGTTTCCACATTTACTATAATTTTCAAGAACTTAAATGTAAAGTATATTTTGACATTTTTGTGACTAGAATTTCATGCCTTATTTCCTTGATTTAATTTTATAAGCAGTAAAAAAATTGGAGACTTGGTTGCTAGTTATGCTATTTAGTAGCTGGACTTAACCAACCTGTTTGTCTTCTCTAAATCTGTGTCCCCTTGCTAAAATGGTGATGATAGTATACAATTTGTAGTGTTATTTTGATTTTGATATACGATTAGCACAGTGGCGGGGATGTAGTTAGTTCAGTAACTGAACTAACATTGCTGTTAAAGTACATCTTCCTTTTTATTACAAAAGTAATATTCGAATCCTGATGGAAAATCCAACCAAACTGTATAATTACAATTCTATCTAATTATAATTCGAAATTAGCAGCTAATTTTATTTCAGTGTCAGATTTACCTTTTTCTGTGTTTTAAAGATCATAGAGATTCAGCAATAACTACTAGTCATTACATTTCTTATATTTGTTGTTTAGCATTTTTCCAAAGTAATTTCACTGAAATCTCTAGAATAGGTCATTTATCCTGTGGATAATTATTCTGTATCTTTTAAAAAAATCTCTTAAAAACTAGGAAGAAGGTCGTGGACAAGGTTTCACTGATGGGGTATATCAAGGGAAACAGCTTTTTCAATGTGATGAAGATTGTGGAGTATTTGTTGCACTGGACAAGCTAGAAGTCATAGAAGATGACGACAATGGACTGGAAAGTGATTATGCAGGTCCAGTGGACTCAATGCAGGTTGAACTCCCCCCTTTGGAAATAAACTCCAGAGTTTCTTTGAAAGTTGGAGAAACTATAGAATCTGGAACAGTTATATTCTGTGATGTTTTGCCAGGAAAAGAGAGCTTAGGATATTTTGTTGGTGTGGACATGGTAAGAAAATTTTAGATTATATTTGCATTGTGAATATATGTATTAGTTTTATGGGCAATTTAGGTACACACTGAACACACTGAATATGTAAAATGGACTAATTTGGAGTATTTTAAAGAACATATTCTAGTTTATCTTTGGTAAAGGAACACCGAAATGGGATAGGAATCTAGGTGCAGAATTACATTTGCTCTTATTATAACTGACTAATGGCTAAAACAAAGAAAACAAAACAATAACTTTTTACCCAAAAATCCCTACCAAACCCAAGTATATGTCGTATATTTCTTTATTTTGAAAATATTTTTTGTAATATATATTTTTCTTTTTGTAATACTTCACAAAATTCTATTGACTGAACTGATTTTAATGAATAATGTAAAAAATCATTTATAGGCTGGGGATTTAGCTCAGTGCCCTAAGTGCCTGCCTGATAAGCATGAGGTGGTGAGTTTAGTCCCTGGCTTAAAAAAAAAAAATCATTTATAGAACATACTTCAATAGAGGAAAGGTATACTGCTTTTGAAGAGTATGCTCATGAAATATCATTTATTATGACTTTTTTTCTTATTTTGGTAAAATATATGCATAACAAAACATTTACCATTTTAACTTCTTAAATGTACAGCTCAGTGGAATTAAGTATATACTCATTACACCATCACCAATATCCATACCTAGAATGTTTTCATCCTTCTAAACTGAAACTCTGTACTTATTAAATAAATTCTACCTACTGCCCCCACACGCTGTTAACCGCTCTCCTAGAATTTGCCTGTGCTGTGTAGCTCATAGAAGTGGAATCATGAAGTATTTATCCTTTTGTTTATGACAATCATTTTTAATGTTACTTTATAATTGTACTTAATAATGAATACATTCCAGCATGACATGTTGAATTATACCCATGACATCAAAAGAACAAGATGAAAAAGGCTGAGAACATTTTTATTGTAGATTGAAAATATGGCAAAAATTTGTTGGATATAAAGAAGGAGATTCATACAGAATCATTAAATACTAGGATGAATTAGAAAAGGATGTGAGTAATAGACTTTTGTACTCATGATGGCAGTGATTTTAGTAATCATTTTTGCCTATTCAGGAATAATTGAATAGACTGGTAGGGTGAGAGTGTTCTGACATTTGTTTTTGTTATTTTGTGCTTGGAAGTTTATTTGATACTCATTAGTTGTACTAAACCAACATTTACTGAGCTTTTACTATGGGAAGTTAAAGCCAAAATAAAGAACTCCTTTTAAAACTTAAGTGTTTTAGAGGAAAAATTATGGGCTGAGTAGAAGGAATGTTGGAGAAGGAGGTCCACTGGTTATTTGGACGACTCTTCCCTTTCCTCAGGTCTTTTGGGTTGGCCCCAAGTTTGGCTAAAGCCCATGAGGGCTGACATCCGTGGACGGCAGCCTTGAGACCATCTTGTTTGTCCAGGCTGTGCTGCTCCTGCCTTTGTGTGGTCTCCTGGCTCTTCCCTCTGTCTTGATCCATCTTTAGCAAGCACTGGTTGTAAACAGATGCAATTTCCTTCATACATTTTGATTTCCAGGGACTTTTCAGGATTCTGCACACATTGGTACTCAAGGCAGTTATCTTCCTGAACCACCTATTAATCTAGCTCCGTGAACAGCACTGTGCTAGCCAGTACTACATTGGAATATCAGTGACTGAAACAGAAAAATCTATTTTGGAAGAAATCTTTGCATACTCATAAAATGACAAAACAATAATTAAAAATAGGCTTTAAAGAAAGGCATGTAATAATTTGAATTGTTTAATTGTTCAGTGAATATAAAGGTATGATCATCTTTTTGAGCAGGTTTCTGAGTAACATGGTGTATTAATAATAAATCCCCCTATGAAAATAATGTCTTCTTAAGCCTCTGATGAGTCTATTCCATAGACTAATATTTATTGTCCAATGAAGTATGAAAGACATTTCTGATTCCTTGTTTATCTATGGGCTTACTATAACTTGGTTGTTCTTAGTTCTTCTTTCCCCCAAAATAAATTAAAAAAGCCTAATTACTATGGCAATTATGTCTAATATCTTCTTTTTCTTAGGCAAAATAGTTAAAATTCATCATAAAATATTTTAGAGGAACCTTTTATGGAAAATATGTATTTTCATATTTACATTTTATTGAGTAGATTTTCAAAGTTTATCTTATTATATAATTTCTAGGATAACCCTATTGGCAACTGGGATGGAAAATTTGATGGAGTTCAACTTTGTAGTTTTGCAAGTGTTGAAAGTACAATTCTCTTGCACATCAATGATATTATCCCAGGTATGTTTCTTTATGTTTTATGTATTTGTGAGGCAGAGCGTCTAAATGTATTTTATCACAAAAATATAAATATGTGCTTCAAGATGTGTATCTTGAATTTGACTTTTATGTTAAGGAATTAATTCTTTCGTAGCCCAAATGAAAACAGTAAAGATTTTTATTTCCAGAAATGTTGTGAGGGGTGACATTTATATATTATCTTTCACTTTTTCATCTCTTAGCTATTCTGATAATTAGAAATTTCAGAAACTACAGTAAATTGATACCTATTGGAATAAAAGCTTGAGTTTAAACTAGAAGCCTTTAAATAGCAAATGGTCATCTTGTTTAGTTGACTGTGGAGAGGATTCTTTTTGAAAATTCTTTCTAGTTGTAGTCAGATTGTTCAATTTTCCATTAAAAAATCCTAAACATATTTTATTTTGCTCATATACAAAGCATCTAATGGCTACTATTAAGACATGACAGGTTCCAGAGATAAAAGTATCAGCAGTGCCATCCCCTGCTGTTGGTGGAAGTCCCAGTGATAGGCTGATACAGCAAACTCACAAAGGCAGAGAGGCTAATGCTTATTACACATTCTGCACTTAGGAATAAAATGTCCAAAACATGCAGGTAGACTGTACCAAAAATACACCAGGTATTGAATTAGATGACCTGTGCTTTTTTACATTCTTGATAATCTTATAAAGTAGGTCCAAATAATCCCCAATTTGCTGATTTAAAAAAACAAACAGCCAACAACTAGGGGGTCCAGTAGGAATAACAGTGCTTAGGTCAGAGTAAATGGTAGAGTTGGAACTCAAATCCAGACCTGTCAAGCTGTGCTGTTCAGCAACTTCCCCTACCCCCAACCTATGTATATTCTTGCTGTGTGAAACCCTGCAAAGAAAACCATATTTCTTGGTCTCACATCCTGTTTCCATGGAGATGTATTTTGTCTCTGTAAAAGCTGAGTTTTACTGTAGGAAGGATCAAAACAGAACAGGCCAGTTAAAATTGTTTATTTTTCCTTCTAGCATTTTTCAATTGTTCATTTTGACACAACACTTTCCAGTTTTCTACAGGTCATTTCAGGCCCTCTGTTGTTTGGTAAAAATGAAAGCAGTAATACTGGATGAACTTTCAGGTTACCAGCCACGCCAAATGCCCTTCCTGTTTCTCTGTTGGTGAGGCAAGTCATAAATGTTTGTTTTACAGAGCGAGGATATGCTTTTGACATGGCTTTTAGCTCTGCAGGAAGAGTACGTTAATTTAGTAGAAGGTATGAAATTCAAATGATAGCTTTATTTTAGTTTGGCTTTGGAAAAATCTGATGTACTCTGCTTTCCTTGATTTCAAAATCAGTTTTTAATCTTACAAATTGAACTCGGCAATTTCTTTGTTTCCCTTTGGAAACAAGGGGCTTATATTCAGGGAAAAACGTGTATGCTTCATATTTTATTTAAAAGTGCTACTTTGTTTACTTTTTATGTCTATTTATGTAGGTAACATAACTTACGGTATTACGAATTGAGGTTGTGCTCAGTATTAAAATGAATATTATTATTTAAAAAAGCAGTACTATAACCTGTGCATGATGATACATGTCTGTAATCCCAGCACTCTGGAGACTGAGATAGGACAGTTGTTTCAAGTTTGAGGCCAGACAGGGTTACATAGTGAGTTCAATGCCAACCTGGACTAATAGTAACACTTTGTCTCAAAATATCCCACCCTCCAAAAAAAAAAAAAAAGCAACAGTCTGAAAGGTTGTCCATTCAGATATTGTTAAACCCTCACTGAAGCTTCTTTTAGATGTTGGGGATGTAGTACAAAGCAAAACGGAGGACTAAGGTGATCAGATGAGGTGAGTGAGAGTGAGTGGGTTTTAGGTATAATTTAAAAAACTGCAGGGAATGGTGTTGCACGCCTATAATCCCAGCACTTGGGAGGCAGAGCTAGGGAAATTGCTGTGAGTTTGAGCCCAACCTGAACTATGTGGTCAGTTCAAGGTCATGCTGAACTACATAGTGAGACTCTGTCTCAGAAAACAACAAAAACAAAAAGCACCAAAACCCCCAATTGAACAATTACTTGTACATAGTTGGGTGTAGGAGTTGAGAAATCCAGGATGACTCCAAGGTTCAGCTCAGCAGCTGGAGGGCTGTAGGGGCTATTCACTGATGTGGAGGGAGCAGAAGAGCGAGGGTGTACGTGAGGGTTGGGAGCGCGGTGCGGAGAGTCAGGATTTTGGTTTTGAGTGTTTTAAGGCTGAGATGCCTATTATACAATTTCATTTGAATGTTTACTATTATAAGCATGCTTTTTAAATCCTTGAGATGTGTAATGGTATAGAAACTTTTTATGTTGAAATGTAGAATATATTTACAAGAGGGTATAACAAACATGTATGAAGAGTAATAATGAAAACTCATGTATCTTATCATCAAGGTTAAGAAATAGAACATTACAGAACCAACTCTGAGTTTGCTCAGATTTCCCGTTACATAAAATGATAAAATTCTCTTATCTAAGCCACTTCCGGTTGGAATTTGTGAAACATTCTAATTGTCATAAGGATGAAAAGAGGAAATATTTTTTGAGAAAGTGATGTATTTTTTGAGAAAGTGAGAAAGTCACCACTACAGCATGAAGTGGTGACTAAGACAAAGCCTAGAGGACCTCTAAGGGCGCTGCTGCTTGGCGAGTGGTTCTTGGATCTGCAGCATCAGAGTGACCCAGGAATTTGTTGGGGAAGCAAAATCCAGGGCCTTTCCCAGAGGAACCAAAGCGGGTTCTCTGTGGGTGAGACTGGGAATTGTGTTAGACCTCAGTTTCCTTTCTGTCAACAATGTGGGAATCATGAGAAACTGAGTGTGAAAATAGTTTGAGAGAGGCAAAAGGGCGAAGGGAAGTAAGAAGAATTAAAATGTGTGAATGCATGGACCAGCTCTCCACGAGAAAGAGCTATTATGTGCAGCAAACACAGTAATAAACATAGAAAGAAAGAAATAGAATGTTATAAGTATGTTAGGAACTGTAGACGTGTCTTTCCTTCATGATTGCAGTAACCCTCCAGAGGTAAGTACTATTTTGATATTTTTTTAATTAAGAATTTCCTTTATACATAGTTTTACCATGTCTCTGTGCCTAAATAATATATTGTTTAGTTTAGCTTGTTTTTGAACTTAATATAAATAGAAACATATTTGTATCATTTACTTAAAATGTATTTTGCGATTCTTTTCTGTGGATACGAGGATTGATAGTTCATTCAGTATCACTGCTTCATAGTAGACTTCATTTTGTGAATATTTCACAGTTTAGTGGCCCTTTCTCATGTTTGTGTTTTGGGTTACTTTCATATCTTCTTCAGTATTGGTACTGGTTAAAAATTTGCCAGTCTAATGACTGAGAAATAGTATCTCAAGATGGTTTGAACTTGTTCCCTGGTTACAAGTAGGGTTGAACTACTTTTCATATGTTTATGGAACATTTGTGTCATACCTATTTGTATATTCTGCTTATTTTTGTGCTGCTTATTGTTTTGTGATTTTTCTATTTTTAAAACTTTTGTAAGATGTTTTATTAGAAAATTTCAAATATAGAAAAGTTGAAGGAATTTTATAATTTGCATTTTATGCTCTCACAGTTGACACTTAAGTGTGTATCTGTTCATTTTTATCCATGTATTAATCTTTTTTATACATTTTAAAACAAATTACAGACATCAGAACACTTCCTCCTAAATAGTTCAACATGTATATAATTAACTAGAAATAAGTACTTAAGGGTTTTTTTTGGGGAGATAGAAATCGTATATCTAATGTGCATTGTATTATTTGAGTTTTGACTAGTGGGTATATCCTAGGATTAGAAATCCCAATCGAGTTGTTAAAGCAGTCTTAATGGGAAATACATTCAAATGACTGAAATTTTCAAAAGTATGTCTTATTTCCATTTTTTTATCTCTTCCATCCCAACTGCTCCCTCATTCATCCTCTGTGACTGTTTTTATTAGTTTCTTATGTGTAACTTTCCATTTTCTTTATAATACACATTCTTATTTCTGTCGTTACTTTAATATAAAAAGGACACAGGTACACCATTCTGCTTCTTGCTTTATTCTCATAATAAATGTCTCAGAGCTCTTTGTATATTTGAATAGAGAGATGGTTCTTGTTTTTTTGGGGAGCACAATTTGATACAGGAGGAACTCAGCCTGTGTTAGTTCAGGCTGGCTTCAGATTGACTGTATAGCTCAGGCTGGATTGATTTCATGGTGAGCCTCCTGCCTCAGTTTACCAAGTGCAGAGATTATAGGCATGTGCCATCATGCCCAGCGTCTTGTTCTTTACAGAGTACACTTTTCCATTGTATGGAAAACAATACTATGATTTATTGAATCAACTTTCTTTCAATGAATATTTGTGTTGTTTCATACTTTATACTATTCTACAGTGTTGCTACAATGACCTTATACATATGTATGCATGTAACTTCCTAGAAATGGGCTTGTTTATGATAAAAGGGTGCACGGATCTTTAGTGTTATAGATATTGTTGATTGCTTTCAGTCATGTTTATAGCAATTATTTATACCAGCAGAATACAAGGATAACTTTTCATACAGGTTTACTATGAGAGTATATTATTAATTTTTTTCCCAATCTGACAGGTGAAAAATATATTCCAGTATAGTTTTAAGTTGCATAGTTGAACATCTTTTCATATAATTAAGGGCAGTTTGTAATTCTCTTGGTGTTAACTATTCATCTCTGCTGTCAATATTTAAATTGGGTACTGGTGTTTTTTTAATCATTAGTTGCTTCTTTTTTAAAAAAATTATTTATTTATTTTGATTTCTTTATATATTAGTGGGGTGAACTTTTGAGACATGAGGTGTAAATGTTCTATTTCTCCATCCTATTTGCCATTTAAAATTATTTATCTAGAAACCTCATTTTTTTATTATGTAATAAGGTTTACTATGTTAACCATTTTTTAAGTGTACAATTC